CTGTTCCTGATGTGGGGGACTGGTTAGCATCAGGGTCAGCACTCCTTGCGCAGCTGTGGTGCCAAGTGTAGAAATCTGCTGTTTGATTTTAAACGTTACCCTCCCCCCGTGACTACTTTAAACCATAAACAGGGTTCATTGCATCCCTTATCAGACATACAATTTTAAGAAACTCTATTGAGATCTCAGAAAAGAGAGATTTGCTTTTTTTTTTTTTTAATTTGCCACCTCAGTGGATTCCTGGGAAGCTTAAAAGTTTTATCTGAAGAAGAAAGTAAAAGCGTCAATATTTTCACAACCTTAGGGAATTAGCTTTTTTGCAGTGTCACTAGGTCACAGTGAACCTACCTACGGTGTTACTTAATTTTTTTTAAGATTTATTTATTCATTTGAAAGACTGAGTTACACACACAGAGAAGGAGAGATGCCAGGAGAGCTGGACGGAACAGGAGGCCTGAGTTTTGTCCCTTAATTCTTGTGTGCTTTCCTTTCCCTTCTCTTTCTCTCCTTTCCCCTTTCTCTATCTCTCCGTGCAACTCTTCAAAAAAATCTCTTTTAAAATAAAAGTCAGAAATAAACATCACAACTTTATTTGAGGAACTGCAATGTCTTTCACACACGTAGTGACTCTGAGAAGTTTGATTCCCCTGATGCATCCAACACTGGTTAAGTAAGAACCTCTAAGGTGGCGCTCAGGCGTCATAACGCTTTACAGCAACCCGCATGATTTTAATGCATTGTGACTGAGAATAACCACCCACGTCAAAACAAGGAAGTCCAGGATTGAGTTGAGACAGGCGAGCGATGAGCATGACTTAGACATGCCAAGTTAAACTACCAACAACGCAGGCACAAGGGATTTAAGGATTGGATGTCAGGAAGAACAGAACAGCTCAGGGTTTTAGAAACCATTCAAGCATTTCGTAAGCATCCTTTAAGGTCTGCTAAGTGCCAGGGTACGCAGTCCAACAAACAGGGCCCCATTTCCTTGAGAGGCTTGTGTTTAGGAGACAGGGAGCAGATTTCTAAACAAGTAAATGGTAGCAAGATTTGTGAGCTTTAAGATAGAAACCCATATGCGGGACAAGAAAGAAGGGCTCAATTTTCTTTGAAGTGCTCAAAAGAATTTAGTAAAGAAGGAACAAGGAGGAAGAGGCAGACTGCTCAAGTGTCAGGAGGCTTGTTTAGCTTTAACAGAGCAGAAAAGAAGCGGGACCAGGTGACCCAAGACCATGGAGAAGCAGTGGAGGAAAAGGCACGTGGGCCAGGGAAGCATGTGAGAGCTAAGGGTGCTGGCGGGAAGGGCGTCACGTGGTCCAGAGAGGAAGGGGCTGGCTGTAACAGTGCACGCCCAGCAGCTGCACAAGTCAGCGTCCACAGAGACAGGCTGGGGCAGAAGCAGTGGACACGGTTTTGAACAGGACTCATCACGAAAGTGAACATTAGGAAAAGACCGCTGCGGAGAGATGTGGACAGAGCACACTGAACTAAGAGACGCAAAGGAGACGCGTGACAGTAGAGTTTCAGCTTCAAGTTTGGCCTCTTAGCGTGCGGCTGAGTGGACTCGGGCCACTCACTTTCATTCTCCGGGTGTCGTTTTTTTACAAAATGATGGAGGTAACTGATGTTTGACCTAGCAGTCAGGTGCCTGGGTTTTGTGTGCCCACCTTCAAGTCTCCCTAATACAAATCCTGGAAGGCCACATATAGTTGGATTCCCTCTGTCCACATGGGAGAACTGGAATGAGTCACCAACTCTGGCTAGATCCAGTTCTGTCTGTTCCAGGTGTCTAAGGGATGATCACAGACGGTCATATTCTCTCTCTTTTTGTCTCTCCCTCTCAACAGCTAGATTATAGATTCTATTTGCCTCTCAAACATTTCTAAAATGATGGGACTAGAGAATATGGTATTTTTAAGGTCCTAAGTTTGACAACAAAATTTTGGGGATTAAAACAGAGTAAGAAGAAAATCATTGCTAGTTGCATTGACCATAACAGTGAGCCACATCTGCGTTTCACGTATGTGCACCTGCCATGGTTAGCCTCCCCGCGGTACAGGCACTGCCCGTTAGATCCCACAGTTCTCAAAGCAGGAACTGGCTAAAGGTGCCACCTACTATCCAAGACTTTAACACTGAAAGTGATCATAGAACAGAAATTAAAACAACAGGTTCTATTCACTAGCAACGTACTGGAAAAAGTATTTGCCCCAGTCATTCTAGCCTATAAAACAAATGGTACTGACCCCACAAAATTATGGGATTGAATGGAAAAAAATACATTCAAAGTATGTAGAGCACACCTAACAATTCTAACACACAAATATTAGCATTTTCACATACAGGAAAAAAAGTAGGACTTTGTGTCAACAAATCATGTAACTGCCTTGATTCTGTACTCCCAGAGATCTCCCTTTAATTCAACCTGCTAAAAATAATAATAAGTAACATAGCATGCTGAGTGAGAAAAGCCAACGGGGTGATTCAAACTCTAACCCAATTATATTTTGTACAAAGAGGTTAACACTGCTTATCTTCCAGTTATGAAAGCTGAGTTAAGTGACTTATAATTCCAACAGTTAGTACATTTTTTCATCTTTTTAAAATTTTCCAATAATGATTACATTGTTGATCAGGGTGGGAAGGATCGAGGTTTAGGGAAAATTGGGTGAACTCATTGCTTCCAAATTTGTTATTTCTTCTTGTTCCCTGGGGAAAGGGAGAGACAAAGGGGAAATCCACTCATGACTTTCCACACGTCCCAGTACCCAGGGATGAGGAGCCACCACGCAATATCAGCCCAGAGTCTCAGTGTGTACATATTCCAAGGGTTCTGTCCAAGTGGTGTGGATAGTTCTGAAATGCTGCCGATTTCACAAATCCGAGGATGATGTCACCCTCCCAACGTCCACTGGCTCCATTCATCCAGACTTTTTGCTGTCATCGCTTGTTTGGGGTAGTTGTCCAGTTTGTTCTGTTCTCCTTCTGCGACAGCACCAAATGAGCTGCCATATTCTCCTTTTACAATAGGGCCTACTTCACTGTTTTCATTAAGTTTTAAGTGAGTGTTATTTTGTTTGCATCCACCTAGCACCATGACTAACCATTTTTGCAAGCGAAATTGTAGTGTGGGCTTACTCCTCATATCCAGATTTTCTACCTCTGTCTGCTTCTAGAATTCCGTACCTTTTCTGAGCTTATGTTGGAATTGAACTCCACTATTCAGCGCCCAGCACACTAACAGTGAATGAGTTAACTTTCCCAGCTGGGAAGGAGATCCTAGAGAAAGCACAGGGGCATTCCTAGGAGAATGCCTCAACGTCCTGCGGGGAACAGGAGTGATGGCAGCTTCAACCAGGGCATGGCTTAAACACAACACAGAGAGGGTCTTGGTTCTAGCTACAAAATCATTGTCTGGAACATGCCCTTTATAGCCCGTTCTCTTATTCTTGGTGCCTCAACCCTACAACATAAGGAAACTGAACATAGGGAAATTAAAACTTTTCCTTCTCTCTCTCTCTTTTTTCAAAAGAGGGAAGGAGCATTTGGCTGACTCCCAGTTCATTCCCTGATGGAAGGCCACTGACACCCACACCAACCCCAACAACACTGACTTTCCCTTTAAGGCTCTTTGATTGCAGGATGCAGAGAAGGAAACAGGTTTTCACTATCAGGTATCGCATGGAATACAGGCTGAGTTGGTGACGTCACAAAAGAGGTTTTCAGCAGTGTCAGCTGAGGCCCTAGTGATGACTTAGCAAGTCCACAAAGACGTCGTCTGAAATAGCTAGTCAGCGCAGATAAGCAGTGGAGAATATTAGTTACAGGTAAAACCAATCCCACTACTTAAAAACAAAAGCTATCCCAACAAAAATGTTTTCGTCTAGATTTTAGAATCTCGGGTATTTGCTGACCTTTGCCATGAAAAACTTGGAACACCCAAAGCAGAGAAGGTCAGATGGTAGCTGGCCTCTTGGCACACACCGTAGTTGGTTTCGACCTGTGTACTAGAACAGAAGCTCCCAAGAAGTCTTTTGCACTAGTCACCATTCCCAGGACGAAGAGCAGAGCTGTGACACTGGGTCTTCCGAAGCAGAATCTGCCGGCCAAGAGGTCCATCCTAACACACGACCTGGTGACCCCACGCTCCAGCAGGCTCACAAAAAAAAGCCTGCAGATTGGTAACAATCCCAAACAGGTAAAGGGAACGCCTTTTACTTCTGAAAGTCTCTGGGCTTCTCAGAGTCAAGCTGACATTCCAAGGCAGCCCCCAAACCCAACAGGCTCCCTGAATGAAGCAAGGGAAGCCCCCCACCCCTTTGCTCACAAACCAGCTGGAAAACACAGGGCCCAGCTGGAGCCGATACAAGCCCAGGGCGAGCAGTGTGGTGGCGCCCCGCGGGCCCTCGAGGAAAGAGAGGGAGGCGCAAAGGGCGCCAGCTCCCAGGAGGGCCCTATGCACGAAGGCAACCGCTTTCCCCCATCACCCGCGGCTGTAAAGAGCGAGGCACAGGCTTCTCCTCGGGGGAGGAGGCAGGAGTTCATATCTCAAACTATTCCGTGTATTTTTGTAGGTGGCAGACCTAGCCCTCAGCGGCTTAGGTCCTTCCCCAAAGGCTGGCACGAATCGTGTGTTGTCAGCCCCATAGTTCCTCGTCTGCAGAGGGTAGAGCACGGAGCAAGAGCCGCAAACCGCGCGCCGCCGCCGGGCCTCGGTTCCTCTGGCGGGGTTTCCGAGGCCGCCCGGCTCCTCCCGCAGGCCCCAGAAGCCCACCCAGGTCCCGCTTCACAGCCACAGGTTCCACGCGCCCACCGGGAGCGGGGAGCGGCTGCCCTCTCCAGTCCTCCATGACGCGCGACAGGTGCTCGGGGTGCCCAGGATCCACGCCCCGCGCCCGGTGCCCCGCGCCCGGCAGTGGCCGGCTAGGACGCACCGCCTCCGCCCCGGACCCGGGAAGCGCTCGGACGAAGAGGAGGAGCCAAGGGGCACCGAGCGGGTGGAGTCGGGAACCCGTGCGCGTTGGAGGCGGATTTCCTGGGCCCGGCTTTTTCTAAGGGCTACCACCATGGCGTTTGGGAAGAGTCACCGGGATCCCTATGCCACCTCCGTGGGCCACCTCATAGGTAAGAGGGCGCAGGGAAGGCGGGTTGTGGGAAGCCGGGGAGCCTTTCCCACTGTCTCCGTTCTCGGCCTACGGAGTTGGTCCAAGTTGGAGGCGGTGCTTCCCCTCCCCCGCGCCACTCTCCCAGATCACTCACGCTCCAGCCGGCCCCTGCAGGCGGTTCTCTCCTGGCCGGCTCACTCCCGAATCTTCCTGCTCGGCTCTCCCTCCCCGCCCCCTTCCCGTGGCTTTTTCCTCAGCCCTCCTGGGCAGTGAAACCAGACAGGTGAATGGCCAGGTTCAATCCTGGCGCGTTTCGGGACTCCAGAAGCTTCTCCGCGCGGAGAAGGTGGTTGGTAAAGTGTGTTTCCTTGCATGCACCGCATTGTGAAGCTCATTTTATTGATGAGGAACAGCTATTTGAGGAAGGCGAGGTGATGTGACCTCGTTTGACAGAGAGAGAGAGCCAGGTCTCTACACACCAGCTTTCTCCAGCGCCCAGTTCTAGTCACCTGAGTTGCTTTCCTAGATAAACAAAGAGGAGTGCTTGGCGCCACGGAAAGGAAAACCGCGAGAGGTGGGGAATCCCTCTGGGATCACAGAGGCCTCTCAGGACCGGCAGGGACCGTGCGGGCAGCAGATCGAGTCCTTTTTCCTACGGCTGTTCGGTGAATTCTGTACCACGCAAAGGCCATGGGAAAAGGGAATTAAAAGTTTATTTCGGGGCAGAAGATTTTTGAAAGCCATGTGAAAAGAAGATCGTTCATAATTTGCATTTCCTTGAACTTTTGTTACTTGTGTTTCCACTTGTTTAGGACCAAAATTAACTTTTGATTCAGTTTTCTGCAAGCGTTTGGGGCATCGTGTGTATGGAAACCTCAGCCGTCAGCTGGTCTCGTCCATCCTCACCTGCTCCCATCTCTCCTGTTTCCTTGATGTTTCCCGTGGGAACCAGGCGTGGCAGAAGTGCAGATTAATGCCAGACAAAGCGTGATAGTGTCTAGGATTCCATGGAATGATGAAATCATGGGAAGTTAATTGTAGAAGGAGGCTCCTAGAGGGAGCTCAGGTGTCAGCTGGGTTGACTGCGTTGTCCAAATGAGCACACCACTCAAGCCCGGCTTTGCTTTCCACACCTTTATGGGGTTGTATCCAGATCTTTGGGTGTTGGATATTAGAAAGAACCCTAGCAGGAAGAAGTACAAGCTGCATCTTTACAGGAAAAAAAAAAAAGTAAAATTCATCCATACATCAAGTGAATTTTTATTTCTATAAACATTTCCTAAGAGAGCTGTTATTCACGAACCAGGTACTGTTGCGGAGGCAAAGTTAAGATATACTTGAGAAAAATCACTTTGGTATGAGGAAGACGCATGGAGCTTTGTAGTCCCTGTACTGCTCCCTGGGTAAACACCAGCAAGAAGAGCAAAAAGACACAGCTTTTGGAAAGGGAGAGATGGTCTCTGCTGCAGCTTGGCTGGGTTTTTCAAGGGGGAAGGAGGCACTTGGGAGGAAGAGCAGGGAATAGGGATGAAACGGCTGGCAGACAGAACACTCGCCCTGCATCCCTCTCTCTGCCAGCTTCGGATAGTCCTCTTAGTTGGGGAGCAAGCTGAGCACAGGGTGCCCCCAACCAAGCCCTTCTTCTCGCTGCTTTTTAAGTGGCTTTTCCCTCCCTTCTCCCAGGACTGCTCATGCCTAGGGAATCCCATTCTCAGAGGAAGATGTGAAAGCATCTTCACAGAGTCCCTCTGAGATGTTCTGCTCTATGCCTAAAGGAAGTGTTTGGAGAGGGAAGTATCTGCTGCTTGATAGTTCTGGGGTTTCAAGTAGAGAAGCATCCAACTTTGCGCGCTGCAGCCTTGGTTAGCACAGGTGGCAGAAATGACCTTACTGCGTGCTTCTGATTTCTTTCTGTCTTAATCTTCATCCTGTGTAATAGATGATTTAAAGAAAAAAAAAAAAAACCACAGGGACTTAAAAAAAAATCTACATTTGGATGTTAGTTGTATGTTACCTTGACCATGTAATGTTGGGTGATTCCTTAACCTTTCTGAACTTCTCTTTCATCACCGCTGGCCGTGGAGTGAATGAGCCCCGTGTGGTTTGGCCTGGAGATGGCCATTCAGTGAAGCTGAATTCCATCCTTTGAAAGACCTGGGATGGACATTTAGCTGACCAGTTGGGTATTGTGGTTGGGTGTTACGCTTATAACCTTTATTAATATGTCACTTATTACTGCTGCAACAGCAGTACTCTGAACTCGAGTGTGGACTGATTTCTGAGTTACTAGGTGTTGTTCAAGGGAAAAAAAAAACTCGCTCTGCCCTTGGGGAACATAAATTCCTGACACTTGCTGGTGCACCCAGGCAGATTATTTCAGGAAGATAAGAAAGTGTTTATTTATTATGGTTTATGAGCAGTAACTTTTTCTTTGCAGAAAAGGCTACATTTGCTGGAGTCCAGACGGAAGATTGGGGTCAGTTCATGCATATCTGTGACATAATTAACACAACCCAGGAAGGGTGAGTTCTGGGAGGGAACGGCATACTACCTCTGCTAGGAAGCGGAAAAGCTGGGCATGTTTTCTCATGCAAATTCTTTGCTTTTCTTGTTGAATAAATACATCAGGAGAATCCTTTACAAGTTTATTCCTCTCTCTTTTGCCTTTTTTTGTTTTATTTTTTTTATTGGATAGTCGAATTTACAGAAAGGAAATACCAAGAGAAAGCTCTTCCATCTGCTGTTTCACTTCCTAAGTGGCCACAACAGCCAAAGATGAGCCAAACTGAAGTCAGGAACCTGTAGCTTCTTCCAGGTCTGCCACATGGGTGCAGGGTCCCAAGGCTTTGGGCCGTCCTCTAGTGCTTTCCCAAGCTACAAACAAGGAGCTGGAAGGGAAGTGGAACAGCCAAGCCACAAACCGGTGCCCATGTGGGATGCTGGCGTTTACAAGGCGAGGACTATAGCCACTAGGCTACCGTGCCAGGCCCTCTCTTTTATTTTTAATACTGAATTTCAAATTATGTCTCTGTGAACTCAAAAAAAGATTTAAAAAGTGGAAAAAAAATCAAGGATTTGTTTCTTAAGAAATTCCTCCTACTCTGAGTGCCATGATTTTTTTATAACTAAAAAGTTTTATTGAGAAACTATTTGCCTCCAGATTACCACTCCCTGGGCAATTGCCTTTCATGAGGAAACAACATAGCAGCCAGGTTTTTTTCCCTTCTGAATCCATCTAATCCACACTTATACCATGTTCTTGTTTTTTAAAGATTTCATTTGAAAAGTAGAGTTGCAAAGAGAAGTCTTTCATCTGTTGGTTCCCAAGGACTTGAACCATCTTTCCCTGCTTTCCCAGGCCAGAGCAGGGAGCTGGATCGGAAGTGGAATAGCCAGGACATGAACCAGTGCCCACGGGGGATGCTGATGTCACAGTTGGAGGCTTAGCCTGCCATGCCTAGTGCCTGCGCTTATGCTTTATTCTTAAAGAATGATTAAGTTATTATATCTGCTGCTTAAATTTTAGAGAATGAATTATATGAACTGTCATTAAGAAGAAACAGCTGGTTTGAATTTAATCAGTTATAGTTTGTTATAAAAGATGCAATACATTAATTTTTCTGTATATATTTAAATGATAACTCACAGGAAAAGATTCGTTTTGGCTCATGTTTATAGAGAAAGCATTGCAATTTAATCAATATGTATCAATAGAAACTGCTGAAGGTTAGGACTTTTAGGTATTTGTGGCTTTGTTGTCTCTGTAGTCATATTCACCAAGTAGAGCTTCTCTCTGAATTTTTTCATTGATAATACCCATTTCTTCATTTTTAATATTTATTTTATTGGAAAAGCAAATTTACAGAGAGAAACATCTTCCTTCTGCTATTTTACAAGTTGCCACAGTGGCCAAAGCTGAGCTGATCAGAAGTCAGGAACTTCCTCCAGGTCTTCCATGCAGGTGCTGGGTCTCAAGGCTTTGAGCCGTCCTGGACTGCTTTCCCAGGCCACAAGCAGGGAGCTGGATGGGCAGTGGAGCAGCTGGCACATGAACCAGCACCCTCAGGGGATCCCAGCACGTGAAAGGTGAGGATTTAGCCACTGAGCCATTGTGCCAGGTCCAATAATACCCATTTTTTCCTGAAACATAAAACAAAATGTACTTACAGTTCTAGTTTGTAAGATGAAATTGTAGCATTTCAGAAACTGACCTAGTTTGCTATAAAGCTTCTCCGACCCTCTTTCCTGTAGAGTACACAGGAAATTCTAATGATTTTCTAATAATTTTAATTAAAATGATAACCTTCATTGTTTTTGAAGTTATAATTCCTATAAACTACTTTTGATGAAAGGATATAGGTATGAACCGGTTTCATGAGTGATATTTTCTAAATGATAGCTTTTCATATAAATATTTGATCATCACAAGAGGGTAGAAGATATTGTCCACCAATGTGCCTGAGAAACTTTAAGAAGCAAAGTGATCTGGAGCCAGTGCTTTCCTATAGTAGGTTAAGGTGCTGCCTGTGGTGCAGGAATCCTGTGTGGGTGTGAGTTTGAGACCCAGTTGCTCCACTTTCAATCCAGTACCCTAGTAATGTCCCAGGGAAAACAACAAAGTATTTGCCAGTGTTTTGAGTCTTTCATCCACATGGGAGACCCAGAGGAAGCTCCAGACTCCTGGCTTGGGCCTGGCCCAGCTCTGGACATTGTGGCCATTTGTAGAGTAAATCAGTGGATCTCTGTCTCTCCCTCTTTCTGTGTAAGTCTGCCGTTCAAATAAATAAAAGTGAAAATGTAAAGCTTTTTTTTTTTAAGTAGTCTATAAATCTGCCTTTCAACTAAATAAAAGGTGAAAATGTAAAGGTTTTAGTAAAAGCAGTAGCCTGCTCAGTAGAACCGAGTTGTCAGTCTCCTGCTCGTTAGGCATGCTTGTGTCCAGAATGAGTAGTGCTTTTCAGAGGAACTGCTTGTTTTCAGCAATGCCTATGGGGGTGACTTCAGTGTATTTGTCGCCATAGACCAAAAGATGCAGTGAAGGCTTTGAAGAAACGAATCTCCAAAAACTACAATCATAAAGAAATCCAACTTACCTTGTCAGTAAGTACTTAATGTTATTAAGTTTGTGAGATCTCCCAGGCTGCACTCACATTTTAAATCCTGGCTAATAAGACTGTTTTGAATTGCAGAATAGAATTTAGTTAATTGTAGTAGGATTTAATTTTTGTGGGTAAAGAATGTTCCTAGAGAATCGGTTGTTTGGTTCCCCCTCCTTTGGTGACAAGATACAAACTTAAGTTTAAAAAATGTAGATGCTAAGTTGATCAAAAGTTTGTGTGTTAATTGACCATCACTGAATACGGGGGATATTAAAGTCTTAAAATGCTTCCGTGTCAGTTTTTCTCCGTTACACACCTTTGTGCACTCCTGCTGGGAGCTTATTGAATTTTAGCCAGTCAGTTACCTGATAATAATTTGCAAGATGTCTTGGGTAGATTTAAATGAATCCCCTGTGTGCTGTATTATCTGTGATTTTGGTGTGAGCCCTCAATTTGACCTGTTCCCATTTCCCTTCACACCTCTGACCATACGGCTTCTTCAGTCTTGCTGGTGAGTTGCCCTTTTTGCTTTGAATGAGTGTTGCAAGCCCTGCCTGCTGCCTGAGGGTGAGCTGTGCGGTTTTCTAGTTTCTTCTGCATGCCTTTGTTGACCTGGGCGCAGCCCAGCCTGTGGCACTAATCAACTAGCATCACATGGCTCTTGGTTGCTGTGGGAGTGTTTATCAAGAAAGCGATGGAGCAAATGTTGGCATAGCTTCAGGCCTCTGGTTTCATGTACAAGATAGTTTATCATTTCTAGCATACTTGGAAACTAACCGAATGGGAGAAACTGAATTGAGCAACTTTCTCATGAAAAAACCTTTCACATTGAATCTAGGTATAGCTTTAGAGTCATTTTCTTCCTTGCTGTAGGTGTGACCTCCTGTCCTTCAGGCATTCTCTTCAAGGCAGTCACCGAATAAGGGAGACCATAGTGGAGGAGGGGATGAAGGACCTTGGTAGCAATGCCAGACCAGGAGACAATCCAGGAATGCAAATTCTTGGCACTTACCATTCACCGAGGAAGAAGCTAAGTTTAAATGACTTTTTCTCCCTAAAATATAATGGCTGTTGTATTGCACAAGCGGTATTTGTACCCAGTCCTCAAATTCTAAGTTACTGTGCCTGTTGATTTTGCCTCTTACCATAACAAATCAAGCCTCTTCAAAGAAAAGAATATTATGCTTAATTTGTGTCTTCATCTGTACAGTGAGCTGGTCCAGGTAGATCAGTATATCAGATGTTGAACAAATTAACGATTAAATGCCTTGCCATGTCTTGCCAAGTCTCTTGTAGCATCCAGGATGTTGTGAGAGCTTTGGAACATACTATAGAACTGGGGTAGAAAGATATGTAAATGTGCCCTAAAATGAGGTAGGTTCAGGTATCTGAAGGCTGCAAATACTAGAAGAGTTGAATGCAGAAGATAAGGGTAGAAGATGAGTTTGTGCCACCTTTTATATTTCAAGAGGATTGTTTTGTCATCATAGCTTGTTTGCTCTCCGTAATGGTTTGCCTCTTTCTCGGTTATGTCCAGCCTTCTTGACATGCCCAAGTTTTTTCCTATCCCTGTCTCCATATCTTCCTTTGTTATGTTTCCTTCTGTCTGAGAATGAGCAAGAACTGTTCCCTGAGGAAACTGGGCTATTCCAGGGTATTGTTCCTGGTTGACTTTCCATTGCTTTTGGGCTTTTACTTACCCATCATTTTAGGTAGTGCAACCTCTCCAGCCTTTATGGCAGCCAGCTATCTGTTTCCCCTGCCACCTCAAAGAGCTGCAACTCTTCTGCCTCTTGATTTCCATACTGGAAGGTGAGAACAAAGGAATCTAAAAACCAGTGCTTAACTAAGGTTGAGAGCTGCAGGTTAGGGATCAGACTACACCTTCATTGCTGGGGTCAGAGTTCATTAAGAACTGGGACAACGACTTGCTTTCTCTTGGATACTTGAAAAAAGGGCCTTGGACTCTTGATATCATTATGCAAAGTTCCTCAGGTTGAATATTTAATGGCCCAGTCACCTCACCCCAGACTACTCATTGCGTTGCATAAGTGTGCTTAAGGCCTTGGGATTGACTTGAATATTCACTTAGGCCAAACTTAATTATGAGGAAAATTAGTCACAGAAGGAATCACCCACTGTCTGTCAAAGGCAATTTTAAGTTTACCGGTAAACTCTGTAAAATGTAATCCCCATATGTGACATTTCCATTTTATTACTATGAAGTGATAAGAGCCTGTCAAAGTCAATTAGAAATGTTCTTTATATCATCTGTCATTTTGAGTTCTCCACAGAATTGTTGGCCTTCATTAAAGCTTAGTGGAATTTGCTGTACTGCATTTTCTGCCATCCATTAACAGAGCAATTTTACCAAGAATCCAGTAGTTTTGTCTTATGAAAAGTAGTTTGCCACCAGACTTTATTGTTTCTGACTCAGAGACTGGTCATTGGATGAGTCAATTGTAATACATTTCAGCCAGATACTAGTATTACTGTTGGATGGCAAGTGGTTGAACAGGTTCCTCAAGATCTGTTAGTTGGCCATTATGGTATCCCTAATACCTAGTGACAATTAGTCCTTTTGGAAATGCTGTAGAAGGTGGTTGTCCCTCCAAGGGTTTGCTGTATCTGGAGAGATTGAGAAGGTTGACTTGTGTCCTAGCAGTGTCATCATATAGTCGCACAGGCAAACCTTGACATGGTCACTGTGAGTAAGCTAGGTGTAGTTCTGATGCCCCTGAGTGTCACTGTGCCTGGTTTCCAAGATTTGCTGTACAAGGAGTGAAACTGTCCAGTTTTTTTTTTCTTTCGACCTTCTCTGAAAAAAACAAACAAACAAAACAAATCTTGAAAGTATGGTATTATTACCAATATGCAGATGGTGATACTGAAGCTTCCAAGAAGCAACTGCCCAGCTATGCCTACCCAGAAGGGGTCATTTGCTTCAGTCTCCCTCAGTTCCACAGCTCTTAGATTCCGTATCCCTCCCCAAATGAAATGTTCTTTTGTGTTCTGCTTCCAAAGATAGCTTATCTGAACACATTGCACCAAAGCCCTGTTTCAAAATATGTACAAACAATGTATTTTTCCCAATTTATCACAGTAGGTTTTTTTTTCTCTTTAGCCTACCTAAGCAGGATGGGAGTTGGAAGTGATGTTGGTGAAATAATGGAGGCGGTGACAGAGAAGTAATTAATCCTGACATTTTGGATTCTAATGGGAACACACAAAGGGCATGATTACCGATCTCCAGATGTTACCATTCTCAGCATATCATGTTGACTCTTTGATTTTGGACATGTACCTCCTCAGGGAATGTTCCCCATTATCAAAAACTTTGATGCTCCAGTGATATTAAATTGGTTGTTGGAATACTTAGCCAGAAATTCACTGGACAAATTCAGATTTCAAGGTTAGGTCTCTCCTGACACCCCATAGACAGTTGGGTGAAGTATTTCTATAGAATTACACTGAACTAGAGGCACTGTTCCCCTTCGCATTCCACCCATTAAAAACTCACCATAATATCCTGTCTAGCTAATCTCATTTATCACTCAACTTTTCAATTTTGTCTCATGAACTTTTAGTAGTATAGATTCATCTTAATGAGTCTGGGATGTCTTTATTTTCCCTGTTTCACAATGCTGCAGGTCCTCAGCTATCTGATTACCTATTGGTCACATTGCCTTAAAACTGACTCTTAATACCTGCTGCTGCTTTTGGGTTTGCCACTGAAGTCACACTCAAAATACAGAGCATGGTGTGAAGTCAGCTTCAGCACTTCTTTTCTGCAGGAATGATTGTACCACTCATGGTCGTGTAACGGTACCCAAGACCTCTATAACTCCAGGTAGCAGCCTGGAAATTAGAGGTTCAATTTCTTTGAAGGCCACTTCTAGAAAGCTGCTTTCTGCATGCAGTTCTTCCATAGTTGCCCATTCATTCTTAGTCCAGTGGCTATTCACGCTGTTTTAATGAAAATATTTATCTCAAGATGATGTGTGACCCCTCTAAGCAACAAACCCAGGTGAGTTTTCCTGAGTACATTTTCTTAAGTGTTTAACACTGTGGGCTCCTGGGCAGTAAGGTGGGTCCATTGTTCCAGCCACTTCTACTCTCTGCTCCTCATGGGCTGCTGTGATGGCTGGGTTATAGCGCTCCCTCCTCTGAGCAGGGTCTGTGTGTAGACAACCCCCTGCTAATTCTCCACATGAGTGTCCCAGGATCATTTTAAACTGGGGTTATCTAAATGTCAGCTTGCTGTTCTTACCCCAACCAGTCATGCATGCCACCACACCCACATACCCAATGCTTGCCCTCAGTGTCATGACATGAGACGATGCATGTCTTCTTCAGTTTTGAATAAGCACTCCATCTTTCAAAGACCTTCGCTCATGGTCTTGGTTCTCTCATTTCTTTCCCCTCCTTGGACCCAAAACTTCTTACTTTTGGTCTTTTTGGCTTCTTGCCTGCATTACCAAATTTTTCTGTCATCCTGTATTTTTTCACCTTCCAAATCCCCTTGTAGAGTACTGCAGCAGAACCTTCCCAGGATATTGCTTTGTAAACTATATTTGTGAGCATTTGTTTACTAGGAATTAAATACCCAAGAGGAGCCTCTTAGGAAGGAAAGTTGTTTTGATTCACAGATTGAAAGCTCACCAGTGCCAAACCAGACAACCCCATTGATTCTGGCATGTGGTGATCCAGTCACGTAACAAGCCAGCAAGCAGGGAGACCCAAGAAGCAAGCTCTTCGTGCACCCTTTCTTTATGGCCTGTCTTTATAAAGCTCTTGTGGTTTGATCATGGGATTCCACCTGGTATCTTAATAAAGTCCAGCCGCTCTACTCCGGACTCAGTAATTGGATCAAGCCTTCACCGTTAATTTATCAACCACTAGTGCATTAACTGTTCCTAAGACTAAGGGGTTTAAAGATCTGCATGGATGTGGACAGCCAAATCCTGTTCAAATACGCACTTTTTCTGCAAAGTTGGAGTAGAAGTATGGTGGTGAAACACCCACCTGCTGACCCCATTTTCTCTTTAGTGTTTTCAGACCCTGCCCAAACACTTTACGTTGCCACAAGATTTCCTTGTAATCTGTAATACTCCAGCTGACTGTTTCCCCTCTAATTCCCCTGGTGTCTGCCATTTGCCCACGTTAGGAAGGAAGCCTCCACTAGAGACAAACCATAGTGTTTATTTTATACTTTGCCACCTTTGTGTTTTTCATACCCTTTATTCTTATAAATGTAGCACAATACTCATTTTTACTGTTTTTAACCATTTCACAATGCCCGACTCAAGACTAGCCTTTTCTGAAAATGTTCTAGGACCACCTGCCCCTGATAGCTGCCTTTGTACATAAAGGACTACGGGTACGGTGAATGTATGGTTTGTCATACAATCCAGAGTAGTTTTTCACAGTGAAAAGGTATGTCATTATTAATGTAGCCAGGAGAAAAGTGAAATACCAGGACCTCCTTGATGAATGGGACACATGCTGCCCTGTCTGGAACCCATAGGTTTTCCTTGAATTTGCCATTGAGCATTTTGCATTAACTATCGTGTATTGCTATTATTACTGTTCAAATTGCACTCAGATTCCCAAATAAGCCTATTGTGCTTTTATTTTCTCCTATCCCAAGAATCTGAGATTTTTGCTGTATGTTTCATTAGGTACTAAATTATGCTTGATAGAGTGCTGGTGGAAATCATGCTTTTGTAAGTCTTTGCCTTATATTTAGAAGGTGATTTTGCAAGAGAAATATTAATGTTTGACTCTTCTTTCTAATGTAGCTTATTGACATGTGCATGCAGAATTGTGGTCCAAGTTTCCAGTCTCTGATTGTGAAGAAGGACTTTGTTAAAGATAGTCTAGTTAAGCTGCTGAATCCAAGGTACAACTTGCCATTAGACATTCAGAATCGAATCTTGAATTTCATTAAGGTAAGTCTGTTGTATGCCTCATGAGATGACAGCTTTCTAAGATGAGAGACTTGATAACCTACCTCCCAATTGTTTCTTTGATGTTCACATACCTACCATTGAACCCAAAATTACTTTTTACTGTTTCAGTTTCTATGGAATAAAAATTTCTTGGCATTAGATGGTAACCTTTTTTTTTCTTAAGAATTTGTAGTCTTTTTCCTACTTTTCTGCAAGTTTCTATTTTAGCTATGGCAAGTAAGATAGTGTGTTGTGCATGTTTATTTTATAGGTGTGTGAATTATGTTCTGGTACAGGTAGGGTGCTGAATGGTTCAAGGTTACTCATCAAAACAACTCCTGGTGCTTATTACCTCTGGAATCAGTCCAGCAAAAAACAGCTTGTTCCATATCAAGATTTCATTAAAAAAAAAAACTATTAATACCTGGAAATTTGATGATTTTGAAATATTTAATGATTTAGTCTTGGAAAATCTACATTTCATCTATGGACATTGCTAAGTAGATTCTCTCTTCTTTTTTAATATTTTTATTTTGAATTCTGATTTGTGTGTTACAATTTCGTATAGGCTGGGATTTCCATCCTCCCTCCAAACTCCCACCCCCGACAGATTTTCCCCATTTTACTACAATAGTGTAGTCCTTTATAAGGAATCATAATTCCATTAGTCTCTTATATAAGCGTACCCCGATATTGTTGGTACAGACAATGTCGGGCAGTCCAGCATCCCACTGTCTACACATGTCCAACAGTCTAGCTTTCTGTTCCTGAGTAAGATACATGATTGTCAGTGCCTTGTGTTCTGTTGCATTTTGGTTGTCCTGCTGTGGTAACTAGAATTTCCATCTCTTAAATTCAGACATGGTCACAAGGTTTTCCAGGAGGTGTGGATGTGACTGAAGTGAAAGAAGTGTACCTTGATCTGCTTAAGAAAGGAGTTCAGTTTCCTTCCTCAGAGGCAGAGGTTCAGAGTACCCGGCACGAGGTATGAGGCCTTTGCTTGACCTGTGTATAACTTAAGAAAGACAGCAGTGGGTTTTCCTGGTTCTTTCCTTGCTGCAAGGGGCAACCATATCCCGACTCAGGTTAAGCAAGAAGGTGAGAAGGAAACGCCCCCCCGTAGCTGCAGCCTGAGGGGCTACTGGAACTCACTGACCACTTGCTTTTCACAACCCAAAGAGAGCATTAGTGATAATGTTGTGTGGCAGTTCCTCGTGTGTGCCTCTGGTGAAAACGCAAGAACATTTGACTAAATCGTGAAAATGATCTTAAGAGCAGCTACCTTTGTTTGTTATAATTGAACATCTGTTTCGTTGTAACCATATTTACTTAGTGCTCTTCAAAGTGCTGGACAAGTGTACACTTGATGGCTCATCCTGAGCTAACGCCGTCTGCCCAGGACTTTGGTCAAGAGCACCTGAATTGGCTTAGTACCGGCAAGATAAATGAACCTGAGGTGGCTGTATTAATTCAGATATTAATGTTCCATATTTCATCCCTAGACTGCCCCAGTTTCATCACAGCCATCAACATCTGTTCCCACTGCACCAGCTCTTTCTCCTGTGAATGGTCCCAAGACCACGACCATTACGTTGGTCCCAGAGCAGGTAACAACCTCAAGAACTGCTTATTGATATCATTTTGAAGTTACAAGCTTTTCATATGCAGTCCAATTTCATTTTACCGATATTAGATGCAGGCACATTGTTAGCCTCAGTTTTCAGAAGAGAAAATTGAAGCTTGTGATACTTATCAGAGTTTTTGTGTGACTTATCAGAGTTCTAAGAGAAATTAAGTTAATCCCATGGATTCTTGTTTGATTCCAAAGTTTTGAGAGTGTTTTTTTGTTGTTGTTCTTTTAAAGATTTTACTTATTTGAAAGGCAGGGCCCAGCACGATGGCGCAGTGGTTAAGGTCCTCGCCTTGCACGTCCAGGGAATCCCATATGGGCGCCGGTTCTAATCCCGGCAGCCCCTCTTCCCATCCAGCTTCCTGCTTGTGGCCTGGGAAAACAGTCGAGGACGGCCCAATGCTTTGGGACCCTGCACCCACGTGGGAGACCCGGAAGAGGCTCCTGGCTTCGTATCGGCATAGCATCGGTCCGTTGCGCTCACTTGGGGAGTGAATCATCGGACGGAAGATCTTCCTCTCTGTCTCTCCTCTCTGTATATCCGCCTTTCCAATAAAAATAAAATAAATCTTTAAAAAAAAAAAGGCAATTACACCAAGAGAGAGGTTGGTTAATCTTCCGTCTGTTGCTTTGCTCCCCATATGGCAGGAAGGGAGGCCCAGGGCTTTATCAAAATCAGGATCCAGGAGCTCCATCTGCTGTCCATTGTGGATGTCAAGAACCAAGTGTTTGGGCCATCTTTTGCTCCCCACCAGGTGCTGCAGCAGAGAGCTGGGCTGGAAGCAGAACAGCCAGGACTCAAACTGGCTCTTGGCTACATCCTATTCAGCATAGCGTTTGGCGTTTTGTCGAGCTTTTTAGGACCTTTTCCAGCTAATTGCCTAGTACTTTCTCCCATCTCCACATTGCTTATCATACTTTTCATTTTTTTAATTGTTTTTTAAGTTCGTGTGTTTATTTAAAAGAGTTACACAGAGTGGAATAAGCAACAGGTAGAATTTTATCTGCTCTTCACTGCCCAAATATCTGTAACTACTAGGGTGCAGCCAGGCCAGACAGGATCCCTAGACCTCTGTCAGCAGTGCAGTGGCATGTGGATGGCAGTGGCCGAGGCAGTTGGGCCATCTTTTGCTGCTTTTCCAGGTGTTTTCAAAGGGAGCTGCGTCATAAGTGGAGCAGGCAGGACTTGAACCAGCACTGACATGGGATGCTACCAGGGCAGGTAGCAGCTTAACTTGATGTGCAATAGTGCCCACCTCTTTGCCCTTAATATTTATGTTCTTAAGGTATATTTTGAAGTTTCATACAAGCTATCTCAATTCATCTAGACAGAACATATATTTATAAAATAATTATATAATGATATATATGATTATATATATGTATGTGTGTGCGTGTGTACTTAGCATGTAGGTTTGAATATATTAGATTTTGGAACAGCCTTTTCCTCCACAGCAGGCGTTTCCCGAGAGGAGGAAGCAAAGTGGACGTCACTGTGGGTCACACATACTAACTGGTGACTGTGTTGCTCTGTACAGATCGGAAAATTGCACAGTGAATTGGATATGGTGAAAATGAATGTAAGCGTGATGTTTGAAATACTGTTGGAGAATACTCCAGGATCTGAAAATCGAGACGACATCGAACTTTTGCAGGTGCAGTATGATTTGAAGGACAATCAAAGTTCCCTCAGAGTTACTCTCTTGAACTTTGGCATACAGAACACTTTAATATTCCCTAATCTCTCCTGCTACTGCTTGATTTCAGTCAATGTCTAAGCTTGAAATGATCTGGAGATGGCTTTCCCAGAGTTATAGTAGTCACTTAGATTTCATCCTTACCCTTTCCAAAAAATGCTCTGATTCATAACCGTGTCATCTTTAATATGGTATCACTGTTTTAAATATAAAAATCACTCTCTATCATCCACTCAGCAGAGATGTTGAGTTGCTGGTATGTCATAAAGGATAAAGAAATGAGGAGGAGGCTATCCCAGGCTTTAAGAACTTAAGCCTAGTTACCCAGACTGACTTCCAAACAGCTTTATAGATGCTAACATCAATTTTTGCTCAGTGTGTGATAGGCCGTAAGAAGTAACACACACACATATACTTCAAGATGGATGTATATATATATACACACACACTAGTGGTGAAGTATATGTATGTATGTACATATATACACACATACATGTATATGTACATATATATGTATATATATGTGTGTATATGTGTATACATATATATGTGTGTATATATGTGGTAAACCTTATGTACCCTAAAATGCCATGTCAAATACTAATTTATGTAGAAAAAGAATTCTAGGTTTAAAATTCTTTTTCTTGAAGTATATAGCTCTCATTTTTGTACCCAGTGATGGTGATGAGAAACCTATCTAATAGATAATATGATTCTGATTTTTTAAAAACATTTATTTATTTTCATCTACTTGAAAGACACAGTGAGAGTGAAAAAGAGAGAGGTAAAGAGAGAAAGAGAATGAGGGTGAGCCTGACATCTCCGCTGAGTACATTGGGGTGTACTCCCCAAATGCCACAGCAGCCAAGGCTGGGCCAGGCCCCAAGCAGGAGTCAGGAACTCCATCGAGGTCTCCCATGTTGTGGGCAAGTGCTCAAGTATTTGAGCCACCACCTGCTGTCTCCCTAGACGTTTGAGCAGAAAGCTGGGCAGGTAGCGTAGCTGCAGTGTGGGATGTGGGTATCCAACACGGAGGATTAACTTGCTACACTGCAGTGCCTGCTCCGGATTTTCAAACTTCCTTTGTTTGGCGGTCATTTTTCTTCTGTTGCAGCTTAAAGTTACTATTTCTCTTTATGCTAAGATTTCTAACATTCTACAGTGTCACTATGCTGTGTGTATTTGCACGTTTCATTTATTTATCCTGTTTACAGTTGCTAGACCTTTTTGCCTTATCCATCTGTATTTTTAACTCTTAGAACCTCTGAAAGTTTTTCAAAGGTTGTTTTAAAGCATTTGCTTTTGAATGAAAATATACAGAAAAGTTAGAAACCGTTTCTGAAACTGTGATTAATATTCCAATGCTTATAGACTACTCTGAACTCAGATAAGCACCTCTTAAGGAACTCTACACCACTAGCTACCCACTGTTCACTAGTAGGAGTTGGGTATCTCGCAGGTGTGTAGGAATGAGAAGAGGATTCAATACCACAACCGAGGAGCATAAAGATTGAGATGAGGTGTGATCTGATCCATACAGCTTATTGATCTTTAGGGCAACGCATTGATCAGGCTAGCAGAAGGCAGGCGTTGAGAGGAGGTAGACGGAGACACTGCATACCAGGCAAATTTTAGAAAGATCCTTTGGTGGCACTGAGATGACAGACGCTGAGGAAGCAAAATGAGACTCTTGGAAACAGTGGGGCACTCACTTATCATAGGATGGGCCTTCTGCTTCCTGGTCAAATAAAGTCGCAAAAAACAATCGGCTGTCATTCTCTTCAAGTTTCATAAAGTTCATTGACATGGTGAAGACTTTAAAGTCTTCAATGTTTGCAAAGGTTCTTGATCAAAGAATCACCATTTACAGAGTCTTTGTAGTCCACAGAACATCAAAGTAGTATACCTTAAATAACCATATTTCGGATCCGTGGCTTTTGTGTGTTTTTAGGATATTTTATTTAAAGCCCTTCTAATATATCTTTTGGATAAGAATTCCTGAGATTCTTGGCTTTGGGCAAGTCATTTACTCTAATTTGACTTAGTTTCTGTGAATATAAATGATGAGCTTACATAGTACCATGTAAACAAAAGCAACATAAAATGTGCTATTTACATAGATGTCCTATTTATAAATGTTTATATGTTATAAACGTCCTATTTATAAAAAAAAGTCCTGTTTATAGAGATGACTAAAAGGAAAATTAATCACTAAAGTTCTTATGTAGCAATCTGAAAAGGTCCTTGATTAGAGGCTTATAGATAAAACCTGTGCAATGCATAATGCTAACTGAGTTCAATTAAAATTTAAAAACAAAGTATTAGTGGGAAGGAGTTTGTGGCAGATGATGTTTTTTTCAGAAGTGATCACACAGTATTCTAGTTGCACACGGTCTTCTCAGCCCTGCCGGGCTCTCAAAGGTAGTGATTTGTGGCTTCTCTCTTGCGTTCCCATCCGTCTGTGGCAAACAGTTCTGCAGTAAAAATGTACGCTAAACCTTCTGCCTAAATATGTGAATCTAGTTTTATATTTTATTCCATCAACATTGAGATGCCTTTTTGTCTCGAAATGTTTAAGTACAGATGTCTAGTTGCATTTTGCAAGGATAATGCTAATTTGTTGTTTGCTATTTTAATGTCGGCACATAAGGCTGACTGTTGGCTTGAATTATAAAGAGACTTGGGTTATATATTAGCATTAGCATACTACTCATGATCAATTCAAGTTGCATGGGTTCTGCCATTAGATCAACTTGCTTTCAGAGACTGTTGCAGGTACAATTATTTTTCTTGCTCTACTTGTTATTAGTAACAGGCATCTGATATGAGGAGATTGTATTGAAAAGTATTTGAATTTTTAAGTCTAAATGACTGCCCTGCAACTATCTAAAATGATGTGAAGAAATCTGTGGAGAGAAAGAAGGAGCACATCTAATTTAAGATTCTGAAATTGAAACCAACAGACTAGGGAAAACCAAAATAAATCTTTGCTTTGGACATTATCAGAAGTTCTTATGCTTGTCTGAACCATTTAGATCAGTAGAGTAAGGACCTGACCAACCCCAGCCTCTAACCAGGTAATGCTGCATCTTGCCTGGCTGCCCTCCTGTAACTTCAAATACCCCTCGAGACTTCTGCAGGAGTCAGGATTGTCATTAGAGGAGGGGGCAGCAAGCTGAGAGACAGAATCCAGAGGAAAGAGTCATGTCCAGAGAGGGTAGTCCCTGTGGTGAAAGGAGTGGAGGGAATAAACTCCGTCCAATGATTCACTCCCCAAATGGCCACAATGGGTGGAGCTGAGCCAATCCAATGCTAGAAGCCAGGAGCCTCTTGCAGGTCTCCCATTTGGGTATAGGGTCCCAAGGCTTTGGGCCATCCTCAACTGCTTTCCCAGGCCATAAACAGGGAGCTGAAAGGGAAGCAGGGCTGTTGGGATTAGAACCGGCACCCATTATGGGACCCTGGCGCGTTCAAGATGAGGACTTTAGGCACTAGGCTATCATGCTGGGCCCAACACATCTTATATTTTGAAATGCATGACAGTACTTCTCAAGCCCATGCATATTTATAGCATGCTTTGCACCCTGATTGAGTATACCAAATGTGTGCTGAGTAGCTCTGTTCTTTGTTGAAGAATGAATTCCATTGGACAAAAGGAATTGCTGAAGACAAAGGCACCAGAGAAATGAAGTGTTGACCAGGATAAGTTGTGAAAAGAGTCAGAAGGGGTCTGATTAGTTAATGACCTTCAGGATTATGTTGAAACAAATCCATCATTCAGCTGAAGTCTGTGTTAAGGAACCAGGAGTTGTACAGTAGAACTGTGAAATGCTCTCTATTAGAGTGATGGAGGCAGTTTTATTTTAAGCAGATAGCTTTTCTTGGTCTCTTGCAGTCTGGGTAAGAACTCCACAGGAAGAAAAGGGAAAAGTGTTCTGGCCTGATGATAAGGCAGTTGCCACAGAAATGTTAATTCAAGAAAAGCTTCCAAGCACATTTTTTCCAGTTTTTGCTTTCTCAGTGAAGATGTTCAAGTGTTTTTCCTTTCGTTATTTTGCCCTGTATTTGTGAGTGTTGCATGACTAAGGCTGGAGCTGAAAGTAAAAAGGGAGTCTCCTTCCTTAATTGCTGAGTGATTTGTCAGGGAAAGAAGCTACCTCCCTGCCAGAAGAGGAAGCTCTGAATGAACTTTTTGCTTTGCCCCAACACCTTTTGAATTGAATATACAATTCACGTCAACTGAGAAGCCTGCCTTTGCTTGTGTGTGCTATGAAAGCAGGCAATGGCAGGGACTCTGTGATGGCTATGTGCACCAGCTGCTGTTATTCTATGTCTAGGCTTGGCTCACCATAGCCACAGCCCTTGCTAGTGGCTATGATGGGGAACTCTGACCCATCCTTTTAGTCCATGGTACTTGATCTATGCTGTTTCCAGGTGGTGTAGCCCTCCTCTGAGACAGACATCAATTGCAAAGATCAGAGTGGGCTGGCTTTTGAAGAAGCTTTTTACAGTCTGTTCTGCAAACTTGCTGAGGGATGAGGGCTTCTTTTGATGTTTTCCTTCCATCTGTCTCTTGAAAGGGCAAGAGGAGGGTCTTCGTGGACCCTGTGCTATTGATGCAGGCTGCAAATTCATTTGAAATTAATTTCTACAATTCTGTACAGGCATCTAACAACCGTTGTATCTCCGTAATCTTGACCTTGCTCTGGCAACAAGAGGAACAATTTCTGTGTATCCTCTCAAGCCAGAACAAAAGGAGAGTTCTCATTCATCATGGGTGTTGTATCAAATGCCATTAGTTCTTTCTTTTGTATGATTTTGGGTCCTGGTTAATAGTGCCAATTTTAGAGGATTACATAGCCTGTTTTTGACACCTTCTCAACAAAGCAGTTGCTTACTCACTGTATACACCATGGGGTTTCAGTTGTGCTGGTTCCTGTTCTTACAACAACCTTATACAACGGTTGTTAGCCTTGTGTTATTCATGAAACAAAATAAAATTCAAGTTACATCTTAGCCTCCGCTCTTTAAATCCCATGCTGAATGTTTTAAGTGGAGACACCTGTGGTCTGCATTGTATTGAAAAGCATAATTGAGCCACATCTAGCCTGTTAACTGCCTTTACTAGAACTTGGCCACAATTATTTACATATTTTCTAGAGTTACATTCATAGATAACAGAATTCAATGGTTGCAACGCAGACTAGGTGACCTGCAGAACAAACACTAGTTAATATTTGGACTACTGAACATTTCTGGGTTTCTGTATTATGCTGTTGCTGATAGTGAGTGTGTCGTTAGCACATAGAACCAGATTTTCTGGCTGTATATTTCAAAGAGAAGCCCAAAGTCTCTCATTTTTCTGTCTACCTTGTGCCTTGTATTTCCCATTGTCTTCTAAATATTTATAGTTCTGGGGAGGTATGGTCTTTTACCCCGACTCTAAATGTCAGCTCATAATAGTGCGATCTGTTTAGTTAGTGATTTCCTGTCGGACACCTTGTAATAGATTGAGTTTCAAAGTGATTGCTTGAAGCGTAAATTTTTCAACAGGTCTTTTTTTCTTGAGGGGAAAAAGTCAGATAATAGTGTATTTAAGAAAGGTTGCCTCGTTCATTTTGAAAGGAGAAACATCCCTTTGTTTTCGCCTGATGTTAATGTTCTATTACTATTTCTATTACTATTTTTCTTTCTTTTTTTTTTCTTTTCTTTTTAATATTGTTTACATGATTGAGAGGGAAGCATGCCAGTGTGGGGCCTCTGATCAGGCTGCGGAAGTTCTGGTTTGGAGGAAGGTGGATGTAACAAATATTTCCATTTTTTTCTCCTGTGTCCAGAGGGGAGGAAGTAGAGGGAGCTGTTCCTTGCTGTCAAACTACATTAGTACCTGGGATAGGGGACAGTCCTTTGATGACCCATTAGAGATCCTGATGAAGAGATTTCTGAGGGTGTTGCCTGAGTGGTTTTATAGTTCTGAGAAGTTGTTGGTTTTATTGCTGCAAGTTTGAGAATATCTTTCAAGGTCAGTTGGTTGACAGAATCCACCTTAGTGCATCCACAGACCCAGAAATATGTTGCAAAGCTTGGCCAAGAGAATTGTCCAATCTGTTCTGCTTTCCATCCTCTGACAAGGCAGTTTATGTTTCTTTCTGGCCTAGACAAGCTGGCCATCATATCTCATGTGTGCATTTGGGCATGCTGTCTACCACATACACATCAGCAACTGAGGAGGCCCAGTCCTGGTACATGTACTGTAATGTTGGAAAACACATCCGTTGATTTTTCTCTCTGGCCAGGGTCTAACAGTCCAGTTGGGGAATTTCCCCATGAAACCTCACCTGGGTGACCCCAAACTTGACTCTTGTGTGTACCAGACAGTATAGGATCAGATGCAGTATAGGATCAGATATAGGGTCTGTCTCCTGCCCCAGAAAATGCACATACTGGTGAATGCAGCTGACTGGTCAGTTCTGCCCCAGCCCCATATTTCATGCAAACCAATGGGTGCTACAGCCCAGCCCAGCCAGCCCACCACAGACTCAGTCCTCATGCATACCAGCAGGTGCCATAGCATAGTTGGGGTGACCCCCAATAAGCTCCACCAGGCCCACCTCTAACTCTAGTGCCTCCACGTGTTGAGGCCTAGCCAGTCTGTCCTGCATCCCATATGTCTCTCGTGTACACCAGTGGGTGCTATGGGCTAACTCAGCCCATACTGCCCCTAAGTCAAGCCCTCATATATGCTGTCAGGTGTGCCTTCTTGTCCATTCTGCCCCTCCTCCCCCCCCCAACGAAGCCCTAGCTCTCATACTCACCAGCAGAAGGTACAACCTAGCAAGCTCACAGTTCCTCTGTCGGGCATGCTCCCTGGATTTTGCCCCTGCCAGGAAATACTGCAGTCAAGCTTGATGTGACTCACATCCAGTTCTGGCATTTGCCATCAGGTGTTGCAACCAGCCCAGTTGGCCCACACTCATTCTGGTGCTATGTGTGCCAGAGAGTGCAGCAGCCTAGCAGGAGAGTCCTGGAGGTTCCCTTACAAGGCCCTCTCCCAGCTCTGGGTCTTGCACATGCCAGCAGGTACTGTACCCCATTCTGAGATTGCCCCACCCACAGTCTTGTCTTTCAGCATCAGGTGCTATAGCCTGGCTCATCCCAGCCTGCTCCACTCCCAGCAACAGCCCTCATTATGAACTGACAGGTATTGCAGTCTAACTGGGCCTGAACTGCTCCCTGTCCTGGCTCTTATGGCAGAGTGTACTGTGGACTGACCCTGTCTGACTTGCCCACAGACCTGGCCCACGTGTGTGTCAAAGGTGCTGCAGCCCAGCCTAGTTTGGCCTGCCTCCAGTCCCAGTTCTCATGATAACCAGTGAGTACTACAGCCTAACAGGAAAGTTTCCTAAGTTCCCCTACCTGGCCTACACCCAGCAATGGATCTTGCATGTGCCAGCAGGTGCTGCTGCCCAGACTACATGGCCAGCCACCAGTCCTGGCACTTAACTCCTAGCCCGACGGGTCTGCACCCATTCTGGCTTTCACTAATGAATAGCTATAGCCTAGTCCAGCCTGGCCCGCCTCCAGAGCCAATTTTCTTGTGATCTAGTGGGAGCCATGGCTTAGCCTGGCTGTCCCACATGCATCCATCCTGACGCTTACAAACATCAGCAGGTGCTAGAAGCTAAGCAGTTTGGCCCACCCCCAGACCCAGTCCACATACATGCCAGTAGGTGCTGCAGCCTTGCCCAGCCTGGATACTCACAGCCCTGGCTCCTGCACTCACCAGTGGGAGCTACAGCCCAGCAGAAGTCCCCAGGGTTTCCCTACTGGGCCTGTTCCCAGCCGTGAGTCTTAAATGTGCTGGCAGGTGGTGCAGCCCAGTTTGGCATTCCTGTATTCTCAGCTTTCATTGGCAGGTGTTGCAGCTTAGCCCACACCCTGTCCTGGCTCTTGTGCATATCAGTGGGTGTTGCAGCCCAGCCAAGCCAGGCCTGTCCCCAGATCTGGCCCACACAAATCCTGCGTAATGCTGTAAGCCCTGCCAGGCCTGTTCTGCGTGCAGAACTGGCTCTGGTGCTCCCCAGCAGGAGCCATGGCTTAGCAGGTCTGTTCCCCTACCAGGCCTGCTTCCAGCCCCAGATCCCATACATGCCAGTGGGTGCAGCGACCCTAGTTGGCATGGTCTGCCCTTAATCCCAGCCTTTGCATCTGCTGGTGGGTGTTGCAGCCTGGCCCCTCTCAGACTCCTCCTAGTCCCAGCTCTCAACAGGTGTCAAGTGGGTTCCTATCAGGAACACGCAGCCTCCATAAACCTCTAGGTACTGCAATCCCACAGAGCTCATTTCTCCACAGTCAAGCATGCCCTCAGCTGCTCCCAGTCCAATGTGTCCCCTAACCCCCAACTCCCTTCCTTTGGTAGTCTGCAGCGCCCCCTGCTCCAACTCTGAGGGCCAGAGTAGCATGTCCCAACCAGGAGTTCCCTGCCTTCCCCTTGTCACAAGTCTTTGAAAAAAAGGGAAGAAGAAGAAGAAAAATGAACTATGCTGGCACACAAGTGTAGTTAACACAAATTTAGCACTATCCAGGTTAAGAATGTCTACCAGTTACTGACCGCTTTTCTCCCAGCAGTGTAACACTTGCCGAGTTATAAAGTGTCCTAGACAGTTGCCTAATTAAACGAGGGGAAATGTTTAAGTGCTTTATACAATATAACAGGAATTAAAATTAGGCCCCTGTAAATATATTTTAAGTTCTTTCAATAAAACTTAAAATGAAAATAACATTTTATGTTTATGGTCTACAGATATCCTCAGTACACACATCTCATTGGATTTTTATGTCAACCCTTGGGGTAAATGTGGAAAGTGGTATAGTTTTTGTTGTTCGTTGGGAAAACAGATTTAGAAAACAAGAAATGAGTTCTTCCAGCAGTATGGCTAATAAGTGATTCATCTGGAATTCTCGTATAGCACTTCTGATTTCTGATTCATCCTGACTTGGCCTGTGCAGTATTGTCTTCACGACACCCATTTTGGTTTTTAGAGGAAAATATTTTATATGTTTATGGTTACATACTGGTACTTTTTTTGATTTTCCATAGGAGAATGGGTTATAGCAGCGATCAAAGGTGTAGGCAGAGTCATTTGTTTTTATAGAATATTCTTTGCATGAAAAAAAAAAAACTTCTCTTCCTTCTTTGTCAGAAACTTTATAAGACAAGTCGAGAGATGCAGGAGAGGATCATGGACCTTCTTGTGGTGGTGGAAAATGAAGATGTAACTGCTGAGCTCATTCAAGTGAATGAGGATTTGAATAATGCCATCCTTGGATATGAAAGGTGAGCAAATAGTGTACCCTCCTCTTTGCTTCCTCTGCGCTAATTAATTATTATTCAGCATTCTTATTAGAACACCAGCTAAGGAACTCTTTTTCTGACTACTTTTTTTCTCAGTGTGAGTGATATTGGTCTTTTGGACGGGACCATTTTCCTTTCTGTGGTTGTTACTAAATTCCAGAGGCATTCCTTGCAGTTAAAGTCACATTTCTAAGATCTATTTGTTTGAAAGTCAGTTACAGAGAAAGAGGGAGAGATGGATCCTCTTGCATCTTCTGGAGAAAGGAGAGAGAAAGAGAACATCTTTCCATTTACTGATATGTTCTCACAGAGAGAGAGAACAGCAGGAGCCAAAAGCTTCATGCAGGTCTCCCATGCAGTAACCAGGGCCATCCTCCACTGCTCTCCTAGGCCATTACGTGGAAACTGGATCAGAAGTGGAGCAGCCAGGACACAGATCAGCGCCCCTATGTGATGCCAGTGTGGGAGTAGGTGGTCTTAACCCCCTCCACTGCAACACTGGCCCCAAGATCACATGGCTTATATGTCCTGTTTTTGTTGAGTTACTTGGAACGTTGAAGCATTGCACAGTGGCTGTATTTCTAACCAACTGACAAAGGATGAACACATTCAGGCAATAGTGAAGCACATGGGCCTCAATTCAAGTATAACATGATTTAGGATAAACGGAATAACATTTGTTTTAAGACTTGAGCATTTTTCCTATGTGCCAAAAAATCATACTTATTTGAAGGTGTCTGTTTTGGGGGTTTGCTTGCTTTTTTAAGAATTAAAAAAGTTAATGTATAGAAAATCATCTGGTAGCGTGATGTCAAATTGACACCCATTAATATTTCATTACATGTTTTGATTTGTTGCCTTCTCCCCCTACTGATTGTGAATGAAAGAGGAGAATCAGAAAGGAAAAAGCAGTGGCTACAAAATGATACTTTGTTTCTTCCCTGTATGAGCCCGATATCCAGAAACCTCCAAATAAATTCACAGTCCTTGGTGTGTATTTTCTTTGGTACATAGCTTTGAAATCACAGAAATATCTAGAGGAAATTTTAAACATAACTTTTAGTTCAGTGCTGCCTTCAGATTTTTGTTTTGGAGAATTTGTATTGCAAACCATGAGGCCTCTGCCTCGAGGCTTCCTCTGAGGTGGGGATGTTGGATTCCGCTTGGAACACATGCACCAAAGTGAGTGCAGGGATGTCATGTGACTGAAACACTTACCTTGCTCCCAACTGAGATACTAGTCTGGTGTTGCAGGCTTCTGTGGCTGCTGTAGCCAATCGCCAGAGACAGGGAATTAAGGCAGCACAAATTTACAATTTTAAGATGCCAAATTAAGTTCCCTAACTCAAGAGTCAGATGTGGGTAACACTGGTTAAAATTCAAAGTTTTGGGCCCAGCGTGGTAGTCTAGTGGTTAAAGTCCTCGCCTTGCACACGCCGGGATCCTATATGGGTGCCGTTTCTAATCCCGGCAGCTCCACTTCCCATCCAGCTCCCTGCTTGTGGCCTGGGAAAGCAGTCCAGGACGGCCCAAAGCCTTGGGACCCTGTACCTGCATGGGATACCGGAGGAAGCTCCTGGCTCCTAGCTTCGAATTGGCTCGGCTCTATCCGTTGTGGCCACTTGGGGAGTGAATCAGCAGATGGAAGATCTTCCTGTCTTTCTTTCCTCCTTTCTATAAATTTAACTTTCGAACAGAAAGAAATATATGTTTTTTAAAAAAATGTCAAAGTATCTATAGTGTTGAGTTTCTTTCTGGGATCTCTAGAGGAGATTTTAACTAACATTTGCATTTCTAGAGATTTCCCATTTTCCTTGGCTCATGACCCATTTCTTCCATCTTCCAAACTATGTAGTGCTTCACTCTCGCTTCTCCTTTCTTACCTCTTGGTGTTAAGAACATTTATGACTGCATTGCACCAATCTGTAGGATTTAAAATAACTGCCCCCTGAAGGTGCATCCGCCAATGAACTTCACTTTGTTTCCAACTCTTAGTTCCCTCTTTACCATGTAAACCGACACCCTGATTCTGTTCCCTCGCAGGCAGGTATTTTTGGGGGGGTCATTATTCTGCCTGTCACAGTCAGCCTCTGGTACCAAAATATCCACTCCACTTGCAAAATATATCCCCCGTTCCATCATCCCCCAAAGTCTTCATTGTAGCATCAAGAAAGGAGTGAAAATAAAGACATTGAGATTTGTTTTCAGTTCCAGGCTTTGGGAACAATGCTACTGCTTTAACCTCAGTCTTCTGTTTTCCCCGTTATTTAACACTTTTTCATTTACCGAAGAAACACTAAAAGTACATCTTAATGTCAATAGAGTTCATAACTTTTGGGTGATGAAATTAGTACTAATTCTTTAAAAAGTGCTTCATATACTCTTGTTTAAGAGTATGTTTTCTCTATAAATTGGGGGAAGTTATTAGAAATATTTTACTATCAACTTAATGAGGATGCAGTTAGTTGTTTTCCTCAACTTTTTTTGTAGCATTTTCATATCTTTTTATTTTTTTTAATAGTTGCATTTTCCTAATTCAAACAGGTTCACTCGAAACCAACAAAGGATTTTGGAGCAAAATAATAACCAGGAGGAAGCCACCAATGTAAGTGATTAGAAATGGCATATTATCGTATGTTCCAATATTACAGTGCGTTCATACCACATACAGAAGCAGCAAAGCTAGTTCTTAACAAAGAGGATGCATGCGTTGACACTTTAGAGTGATTTTGGTGATAAAGAATATCTGCCATAACATTTAACACTATTAAGTTTTTATTGAGTCATAGGAAGCTTGCTTATGTAAGGAACCCAGATAGGTGAGATGGGATTCATTTTATGATTGCCTGTTGAATGAAGAATGCTTGCTTAAAATGCACCCTACTGCAGTCCTCCCTTCTACAAAGTAGTAAGAAAGCCATGGTCAACTCCACAACTCGTGTTTTCTGAATGATGTTCTTGTGTGTTCTGTTCTCAGCCTGCCAGCGAGCCTTCCGCTCCATCTTGTGACCTCCTGGACTTCAGTCCCAGTCCCCCCACGCCCAGGGCCCCTCTGGGAGAACTCAACTCTGTGAATGCTCAGCTCTCAGACTTAAGTAAATAAGCACTTGGACCTTTTCAGACCAGCTGAAGAACTTGAAGTGAAGCCTTCCTCTTTGGTCTCATGATTAAATGCCATCTGAGAAGGACTGAAATAGTTTGATCAGAGTAAATTATATCCGGCGATATAATTCCTTGTTAGCAAATGGCTGGGCTGAATCAGGTGCAGGAATGGCTATTTCTGTGGTGGTAGATGCTTGAAACTCTTCCCACTGACATAGAGCTTCAGGAATTCAGCTGCCTCACTTTGTAGAGGTATAGGGTATGGCAGTCAGTACTTAAATCTACTCTGAATCCATGCACTCTTATCTCTCTTTTTTTTGTGTGTGCTGCACTACACAGCATCAGGTAAGGGAATATTTGATGCAGGTAAAGATACTGAGGATTTTCAAAGGCGTGATCCACATAGAGGTGAAATGTAAGGGGGAAAAACACCACCCTTAGAGTTAGCAGAGTCCAAGTTCAAGTCCCCCTACCCACCAAACTACTGAGACCTTCTTACATTATAAAAGGGAACCCATGGCTGTGCTAAAGGCTTGCTATAGTGGTAACTGAAATCATTAAAAATGCTCTGCTGATTAGGTACTACCTATCTTGCCAGTTTTTCTTGTTGCCTTCTACTGTTCTTATTCCTAAGAAACTTCTAGTAAATTATAAAATAAGGATAGTAGAAAATGGTAAAATATCAGTCTAACAGAACTGATACTAATTTGTTTTTCTCTCATTATCTCTTTTGATCTGGTGTTTCCAGAGTAAAATATCATATGGTATTTATGATTTTTTTTCAGCCAAGTTCCCAGTGTTTAAAGTAGTAACTAGCTATTTATGTAATCCAGGGAGATGTGTAGACTCAGCCACACTGAAGAATTTGTCAGGAATTTTCAGGGGGGAGAAATGTGTATTCGCTTAGCACTATTTCATTTGAGATAATGGAAAGTTAATAGTTCTTATTTAGATGAGGATAGAGCCGTGTTCAGCCTTCTGCTGGGCAAGACGAGACATGTAAAATCCTTTCATTGTGGATAAGCTTGGTGTTTTAGAACACCCTAAAGAATCCCGTGTACAAGAAACGGCTTTTACTTTCTCCCTCACTGCTGCAAGTGATCGTGTTAAATTCTTTTTGGAAGAAATCTCATTTATGGTGATAGAAATATCAAAATTAATCTGGTCAGTATGGCTTTTTTGCTTGCTTTGTGTTAAGCAGCTAACCTAACAGCAGACTCAAAAATGTTTTCAATCTCATCAAGTCCATTTTGTGTCCTAGGTCTCAACTTTATAAATCCTGTTGTAACAAACAACTTGAAACCTAGCGTTCCTCCAGAGGTAAATCTGCCAGCCTTTGAAAATACGGAAATACCCATGTAAGTATGTTGGTAGCACGCACCACTAATACTGCAATGTTCAGTTCCATGTACTTAAGAATACTTGATGTACTCACCGTAACAAAGCAGAGCCGGAAGAGTCAGTGAGACCTGAGACGGAATTTGCACTCTCCTCCCTAGTAATCACGTGACCGAGGCTCTCCATTTCTTTCTTCAAAGAATTTTTTCTGGGATTTTTGTCAAAGATTTGGGAATACTGTTTGTGTAACACTTCATCAAGCCCTTTGCATGTAATAAGCTTTTAGTAAATTACTTTGAATGGTAATGGGAGGTAGAGACGTGGGAGAAATACAACAAGGGAAGAAAAGGAAAATAAGGTTCAGAATCCTGGTCAAGTGGCCACATCAATTATATAGCCCCTGATAACTACTCTAGTAAGGTATTTTTGCATATTTTATATAATCTTGGCAAAAGGTATTGGGTTGATGCTGTTGTTGCTCCTGTTGCAGGGGAGAGAAGATTGAGGCATAGGAAAGCAAAGCTTGCCCAAGATCACGTAGCCATTGAGTAGCAAATCTGACCTGAGACTTCACCCAAGAAAAAATGTTAATGACTCATTAGCATATACCATAATGACCAACTTGGTAGAGAAAATTAAACCGTAAGATGTGTGTGTGTTTCCTTCTCCAATTGACAGAAGTCACGTTGTTTGATCACATTCTTTGTGAGCTATGAAAACAGAATCCATCACAAAGTCATGTCAATCTTAAGAGGAACAAGTGGCCATCTCTATTAAAATTATAAATGCTTAGCCCAATAAGGTTGGAACTTCACCTAGAAATTTGTACAAAATCTCATGCATTTGTACAGAATTACATGTTCACGCAGTTATTGTTTTGGACGTTTAAGGCAATTGCAAGTGGACAGCAATGACTGTAGCATCCATCAGTTGGTCTGGTAATTCAGCATCTATACAATGTATGACTGGCTGTTGGTGCACAAGTAGACTTTTTATGTGAAAGACAATCAATAATGTGTTTGTTGTTGAGTAAGAAAGAAAGGTTTAAAATAGTGTGGGTATCTTATATTGCATGTATGCAAGAAAGTGGAAAATAAGAATTTATACTAACATTTGCCTCTAAATACATAAAGAAATATAGGAAGGTTATAGAAGGAAATGAAAAAGAGTGGTTATATCTAAGTTCAGGGGAGGAAGGATGGAGGGAGTTGAGGAAAAAAAATAAAAGGTGGATTTGCCTACAGTAAAGCTGATTTTTTTTGAAGTAATAGTCCATGCACAGCCATGATTTAGATATAAAAACAGTATGAAAAAATGGACAATTTTTATCTCATCCGCACTTGCTGACCTGCCTTCCTCTGTTTCTTACTTCTCTCTCATTTGTTGGGTGGGTTCTTCTTTATCCTTACAAAGTGTCTTCAGGTAAATAAAATGCATTTTTTTCTTGTTTGTTAGGTAAAACTCAACATGCCATCACAGTGTTTTAAACACTGCCTTTGTTTTTCACTCAGCAGCATATCTAAAATACATATTCTTTAAAGGTGCTTAGTATGTAAACACTTCCTCTGCTGACAAAGAGGAGGGACAGGGGGAGAAGATTGAGAAAAAAATAAAGTGGAAAGGAAAAAGGAAAAAAAAAAACTGTGTAAGGAAAGGAAAAAGGAGATTCAAAGGTTGGGAAATGACAGGCTGTGCTTGGCAATCTGAGGAAGCAATGAATAGAGTCATTGCCTGGGGTGACTGCTGTTGACTCCATACAGTGGAAGTGAATACTCAAAAGTTGGCAGGTCCCAGGGACATTGTTGGATAAGTAATATAGGTCAAGGGAGCCTGTTCTGTTTTTCTGTTATCCTGCTAATCTCCCTGGGTAATACTAAGAAGAATGAGTAATGGGGACAGATTTGCATTACAACAAATATCTCTAATCAAGTTCTAGATAGTAGCTGTTTATTTTCTTCTCTTATCCAATAGCTCTCATTCTTTAACATGCATACAATTTCTTAGTTTTGGCCCATTTTCATCTTCATTCCTCAAGAATATTATCCTGAATATAGAATACTGGGTTCTCTGTTTCCTCTGAGCTGTTTTAATAAAAGGTTATTATGGTCTCTGCTGACCAGTGTGGTTCCCCTAATACAGGAATTCACATTGGTTTTCATGGTTGGTTTCCACTGATAATGTGCTGTGTTCTCTGAATACTTTAAAGGATTTTTCTTTTCTTTTTTTTTTTTTTTCATTCTTTATAATTTTGACCATAGGATCTGGGCATGGACTTATTTGGTTTTATTCCTTTTGGAGTTGGCTGAGTAGATTAGCTGCCTGTGGATTCTACAAAAAACACAATCTGAGGTTTAAAGCCTCAGAAGTTTATCCTCCCCTGGTTCTGGGACTTAGCCAACCCCTTCTAGGGTTCCTAGGGAAGCATTTTCTCTGCCTCCCAGATGCAGGGCATTCGTTGGTGTTCCTGGGCTTCCTTAGCACGGGCCCACACCACTCCACTGCCTGTCTCCACCATCACCCGGCCTCCTCACGATGCCTGTTGATCTCGCTCTGCTCTTGTCTTAGGGCCTTTGTATCAGTTCTCAGCATTCAGGAAATGAGGTGGTGATGGCTGTTCTGATGGAAAGACTGAAAACTCTGCATGAATGAGCATGCCCCTGCAGGGTCTTAGTGCCACCTGTCAGGGAGTGGTACTTTATGTCTTTGCTCTTTGACATTTGGGCATCATGACGTGGTGGGCACTTTAACCAAATGGGAATTGTTACATTAAAGCAACACTTCAGTGCATACTTAAGTTTGCAGTTTTGTTTTTAGATCAGGGGTCATATTACTTGCTGCATTTGTGTTCTCCCTGTAGAATAATCATGCTGTGTTTTCACATGATCCTAGGTTTGCCCAAAGGACCAACCAAAACCTCGCCTCAAGCCATACATATGATAATGTAAGTGTCAAGACCCTTTCCTGGCAGCGCAGCTAGTCTCCAGGTTACCATGGCCAAGTCGAAGAACGCCTGGTCATTGATTCTCAGGTTCTGCTCAGCATTTCTTAGTGTGTTGACTGCAGCCCTTATTTGGACTTTTTATCTTCTTTTTCATCTTCTAACATAGACAGGAGGGCCCAGTGCAGTAGCTTAGTGGCTAAAGTCCTCACTTTGCACTTGCTGGGATCCCATGGGGGTGCTGGCTCATGTTTCCGGCTGTTCCACTTCCCATTCAGCTCCCTGCTTGTGGCTGCAGAGGATGGCTCAAAGCCTTGGGACCCTGCACCCACATGGTAGACCCATGAGGAGCTCCTGGCTCCTGGCTTTGGGTCAGCTCAGCTCTGGCTGTTGCAGTTGCTTAGGGAGTGAACCAGCGGGTAGAAAATCCTTCTCTCTGTCTCTCATTCTATCTGTGGATATGCCTCTCCAATAAAAATAGTTTTTTTTTTTAATAAAGTCTCACTTCTGTTAGAAAAATAATTGAACATCATACTACCTTGAGAGCTATTATTTGTATTTAATGTGTGTACATTTTTTTCCTTCCAACCTCCTGGAGGAAACAGCTTCACCCATTCACTCAAACGATGACTGCAGGAAGTGCAGTGAAAGATTTTAGTAACTCCACATTGAGTGTTTGGTGAACCAGCATGTGGGTGTATTTACAGCCCCTCCTCCAGCAACTCACTGGCTGAGTCCTACAGGAGTTTCTAGAAGCAGGACAGACTCCCCATCGTTTGGTTCACTCCCCACATGCTCAGAAATCAAGAACGCAGTCCACATCTCCCATGTGGGTAACCGAGACCCGAATATTTGAGCCTTCACAGCTGCCTCCCACAGTGCATTCTAGCAGGGAGCAGGGCTTAGGAACAGAGCCAGGAGTCAAAGCCAAACCTCTGATAACGTAGGCAGCCTTCCTGACTGGTTTCTTAACTGTTAGGTCAAATGTTGACCCTGCAACTTTTCTTAACATTTTATATTTTAAATGGAAATGGGATTCAATAGGAATGCAACCAGGCAGAAGAGGAGTAAATTTCTGAATGTTTACCTAAAAGACTTACTAGTTCTTGTCCATATGAGCATATATAATTCTTAGAACAGTGCTGCCTAGAGGCTCAGGCATCTAAAGCTTTAGTTGAAAGTGGGGGCTGGTATTGTGGCATAGTGGGTTAAGCCGATGCCCACCTCAAATGGGTACCTGTTCAACAAGACCTGGCTACTCCACTTCCAATTCAGCTCCCTGTTGATGGCCTGGGAAAAGCAATAGAAGATACCCCTAGTAGTTGGGCCCAGGAAACGCCTGTGGGACACCTGCTAGTTCTTGGCTCCTGGCTTAGGGCTTTCCCAGTCCTAGATGTTATGGTCATCTAGGAAGTGAACCAGCAGATGGAAGATCTCTGTTTCTTCCTCCCTTTCTGTAACTCTGCCTTTCAGATAAATAAGTAAATCTTAGAAAAGCAGAGGGGCCAGTGCATTTACGCAGCAAGCTAATCCTTCACCTAATGGCACGAGCATCGCACATGGGTGCCAGTTCATGTCCCGACTGTTCCACATCCGATCAAGCTCTGCTTGTGGCCTGGGAAGGCAGCAGAGGATGGCCCACACCCTCAGGCCCCTGCACCCGCATGGGAGACCCAGAGAGGCTCTTTGCTTCTGGCTTAGATTGGTTCAGCTCTGGCAATTGTGGCCATTTGGAGGAGTGAACTAGCACATGGAAGCTCTCTCTTCTTTCCTCTCTAAAATATGCCATTCAAACAAATAAATAAGCAAATCTTTTAGAAAAGCAGAACCTAATATGGAATATTCATTTGAACAAGTGTTAACATTTTCTCCAGTTTACAGAATTTTCACCACCAGTATTGCTACAGCCAGTTAGTCTACAGAATGTCACAGCAACACATTCGACCCACAGGCCGCCGTCTTTGCCTGTCAATCATCCAGGTACAGGAGACCTTACTATTTGCATGAAATAAGCAAACTTAGGAGAGTATGAGTCTGCTAGAGATTGACTGGTAATTGAAAGTAGGAGAAATGTGAAGAACTTGTTCGCGTTTTTAAGCTGCATGTAGTCACTTCAGACCTGACTCCGTGATTACTGACATTAGGAAAGTAAAATGTTTGTGTTGAACTGAATGCTGTATTTTAAACGCTAAGATTGTTGAGGTTGGGATTCTCATTAGAGCATCGGTCTGTTTTTGTTGTATCTGCAGGTTTGTTATACTGGAAGTCAACATTAAATATTAGAAAATGGAATTACATATTAGAGAACATCGTGTATACTCTTCACAAAGCACAATGTATGTTTACCAGTCTCTCTCTCTCTCTCTTTTTTCTTTTTAACTTAAAGCAATGACAAAGAAAGACACCCAGACACCCAATTACTATGAGGTAATGGAGTTTGATCCCTTAGCTCCTGCCGTCACTACAGAGTAAGTTACTTACAAAACAATTTTTTTTTTTTTGGCCTTTTTCCCTATGATAGCAAAACAAATGGGGCTTGGTTACACATTTGATCTTGTTAAGGTCTTGGCAGAAATGGATGACCTTATTAAAACTGACTTGTGAGGTTCAGTGGTGGTTGTTCCTCTTGATGGCCTTACTGCTGTTTGTCTTGTGACCAAAATAATAAATGCACTGTGGTTGTGAGTTAAGAAGTAACTGGAACCAACATGTCCATTAATGGATACCTCATAAACGACTGGCGAATGGCCCTGGTCACTGTAGACATAAGTTGCCTCCTCATTGTTGGACTATTTTAACTATTTGGAAACTGATCTGAGAGAAAAATTACACAAGAGCTTCCTACTTAGCACTGTGTATGACAACAACATTCTTATCATGGATCAATGAAACATTCGTGAAAAAACTGTTTAACCTGAAATCCCTTTAGCACTGTACTTTCATATGGGTCAGTACACATCAAAATATTTATGAAGCAGAAGATATGTTTTAAGGTGCTTTAAGTGACTGAAGGGTACCCCCAAAATTGTTAGGATTAAAGCAGGCCTGTGGAAATCAGTTTAGAAACTGGCAGCCTAGGCTGCGTCTTATCTTTAGTTTGTTTTGTTTAACTTACCTGTGTAGAATTTAAAACATGCATTTTTAAAATTGTGAACAAGGGGGTTGGTGCTGTGGCATAGTTTAAGCTGCTGCTTGCCATCCCAAATGGGAAGCAATTTAATCCTGGCTACCGTTTTTTTTTTTTTTTTTAATGGAAAGGCAAATTTAGAGAGAGAAGGGATGACAGGAAGAAACATCTTCCATCTACTGGTTCGCTCCCCTTGTGGTTGCACAGGCTGGAGCTGATCCGAAACCAGGAACCAGGAGCCTTCTCCAGGTCTGCCATGTGGATACAGGGTTCCAAGGACTTGAATGATCCTCTACTTTCCCAGGCCATAAGCAGAGAGCTGGATCAGAAGTAGACAGCTGACACAAACCTGTACTTGTGTGGGATGCCAGCACTTGCAGGTAGATACTAGCCGGTTGAGTCACCACTCTGGTTCCTGCTTCACATCTGATCCAGCTTCCTAGAAAAGCAGTGAAGGACGGCCCAAGTCTTTGGGTCCCTGTGCCCACATGGGAGACTTGGAAGAAGCTCCTGGTTCCTGGCTAGACTAGCCAAACCCCAGCCACTCTGGCCATTTGGATCATAGACCTCTCTCTGTTTCTCCCTTTCTCTCTCTGTAGTAGTCTTTCAAATAAACAAAACAGTTAAAAACTGGGGTACTTAAAATTAAAAATTCTTCATTTTAGTCCATTTTTCATCAGCAGTGGGCTGGGACCGAGTAGCAGCTGTCTCCATGCACGTGTGCTCTGCTGTCCCACAGGATGCCCATCTAGTTATTGCCGGGCATATAAAAGCATTTGATGTTTTGATTAGTGGGTTAAATCTTCATGTTGGGCAGACATTGTAGCAGGATCTTAAGCTACTCACATGCCACATCAGAGTACCAGTTGGCTAGCTATTCAGCTTCTAGTTCATTGTCCTGCACATGTACCAAACAGCACATGGCAAGGACCCACCCGGGTACCTGGGTCCTTGCCATCCAGTCACAGGCCTGGATGGAGTTTCTGGACTCAGGCCCAGCACTGGGGGCACTTGAGTAGTGAACCAGTAGATGAATGTGTATCTTTCTTCTCTTTTCTCCCTCTTTACCACTACTTGGTGGTAGTGGTCCTTTGCAAACCCTCAACGTAGTTTTAGAATAACGTTTGAACAGAAAGTTACAGATTTAGGAGCCTGCTAGTACTTTTCCCCAAACTGGTTATTGTGAAATTTCCCTGGGTTATTCTGAATAAGTATATCACTGAATATATTAGCTAAATTATCACTAATAAATATACCTTTTATTTTTTAAATTTATTTGAAAGGCAGAGACTTTAATTGTTTCATTCTCCAAATGCCCTCAACTGCTGTGGCTGGCCACCTCCAAGCCAGGAGATCCAGCTGCATTACAGGCATCCTAAGTGGGTGGCAGGAACCCAGGTGTTAGTCACATCGCTCTCCTAGGGGGACATTAGCAGGAGCTTGAGCTCAGGCATTCCAGCTGGATGTGGATGTGCTGAGAGGCTTAGCAAGCATGTTAAGCATCTGCCATCCCACCCATTGGTATGCTTTTTCATTAGAGCAGTTTTTTCATAAATATCCAAATAGGAAAGAATTTCTCTAAGTGTGTGTGTGTGTGTGTGTGTGTGTGTGTGTGTGTGTGTGTGTATAGATAGATAGATATCATAGTGTCATGGATGATAAAAGGTTGAAACAGCAGGCATCTAGAAAAACAGAACTCTGGTTCTGTGGACTCAGATGTCTCTGTTCCTTTCAGTCTCATGAAACCCCGGATGTCTCCCTCCATGGGAAAATCACAGAGTCTTACATAAGTTTCAGATTTTCCACATCGCTGGTTGCTCAGGAATCCCAGCACATATAGTAACAATGATGAAGATCCATGAGCAGTAATCCGTGGCGTCTAACTTGAACAAAAGACATGCTCTCTGACAGAAACAGGCAACTCAGTGGGCGAACACATAATTGTAATTTGTGTTAACAGAATGGAAAAACATGTTGATTTGAAAGTGTATAATTTCACGACTAAATGAAAATTAGAAAGAACATGAGAAGCCAAGACCTGTAATTTGCATGCCAACAGACAAGTTTGGAAGTGAGTGCCATAATTCCAGGGAACAAATGTTTTGAAACAACGAGAAGCTGAACGGATTAATTTAAGCAAAAAGCAAACTGTCCAAGCTTGAGCACTGATTTTTCTTTAAATCACAAGTTCGATTGAAATGGTCTTATGTTTTTTTAGACAGAGATCTTTGCTTTTATTTGCTGAGGCAGTCTAACTCCCACAACCACCAGATTTTTTAATTTTGGTCTGGCAGTTGGAAACCAAAATACCATGAATCTCAAGTAGTTAACACTTTGGCTGTGATTTTTTTTTTTTCCTTTTTTTTTTTTCAGAGCCATTTATGAAGAAATTGATGTTCCCCACCACAAAGAAACTGAGTCATAGTAACTGTTGAGGTAAAACGTCAACCAATACTGCTCTTATTCCATGTATTTCAATCATAATGTAGCTAGTATTTATACTTTGCAAGAGCCATCTGAGACCAACGCTTTGGTGGAAAACTGTTATACATGTTTCTCTGAGTTACTCAAAAAAATCTTTTTTAAGATTTATTTTATCTATTTGAAGGGCAGTTAGAATTTTTTCATCCACTGATTCACTTCCCTAAGTGACTACAATGGCCCAGAGTGGGTCAGGTGAGACCAGAGCCAAGAGCTTCTCCTGGATCTCCCAGAGAAGCCAGGCAAGTTACACCAGGTTCAGCTGCCTTCTCAGGGTGTATTAGCAGGGAGCTGGATTGGAAGTGAAGCAGCTGGGACTCAAACGAGTGCCCCTAGGGGATGCTAGAACATCAGGTGGTAGCTTAACACACTAAAGTGCCCACCCCGAGTTACTCAAATTTTAACTACTGTTCACTAATTTTTGTGTATATGTTCCCATCAGCTAGCATTTATGAGGTTCAGGAACGTCAGAGTTGGTTTAGAGAATGGAACTATTACAACATGATGAGTAGATTTCCAGCACTGCTGTCACACACATGTATTTAATGTGTACTTCGTACCTTCAGCAGTGCACATTCAGACTCTGCCATCAAGTTCCTCTGAGTTTTTGCTGCTTGTTGCAGTAGTTATTCCATTTGTTTACTAATGAATGAGTGGTTACCACTAACCTATTAGTCTTAATTATATGCCTCACATGGAGTAAGTACATCCTCATAGTTCCTCTAGTAAAGTCTGGCTTGCCACCTCAATAAGGAAAACAGTTATCAAAGAATGGGGGTGGAGGAATGAAAATCAGGGAGATCAGCTGTTCTTTTTTTATTTTAGGTGAAAATGCATGATCATTTTATCACTAGCTACACAGAAGTGCCAACTCTGTAAAGAGTGAACCCTGCTCAGGTTTGAGGCCTAGGACATAAGACCCACCAACACGTCAGAGCCACAGCGGACCATTTCTATTCTGCTATAATGAAGTCTAAACTGAAGAAGAATAGTTCCAGTGTAAAAGTTATGGTTCCTGACAACAGCTGGAACAATGGAACTCAATTGTGAACAAAGTCACTTAACCCTTCAGCAGAAGAAAAATTAGTACTTAGGCCAGTTAGCGTAATAGCAGTGTCCTGTGGTGCACAGGCCTTCCTATGCTTAACCCAGGACATAATATAACTGTGCTAAGAGTAGGTGAAGATCATTTTGTTAAAAAATAATTCTGCATAGCTCTAAACAGGGTATATGAGAAACTAAATGTGCTATTAAGAAAGAATTACTGAGTGCCTTCATTTAACTAAAGTTGAATGTAAAAGTCAATTTGCACTTCTCTATAAATAATACTGTTTAGAATTGTAAATACCTTGATGATTGTAGTGTAATGACATTTCAAGTGTCCTGAACATGTCAGTAGTCTCCATGTTGGTGAACTTTAAGTATGACTCTTCATAATAAAGCTGAATATTCTTTTATTCTTTTTATTAAAACATTTCTATTTGGAACAGACTACTGTAAAATATTCATAAAGCTTGTGTATTTGTTTATAAATGACAATGACAAATAAATTAGTATTAAAATAATTTACTACATTTTTTTTTTTTTTACAGTTTTGTTAGCAGAACTTATGATGCCAGCAAATTTTCACAATTGCACCCTTACATTTTAACATTCAAAGACCTGGAACTATGATTGTAAATGCTAGCAGTCTAGTACATGCATTTACACGTTTTGTTTCAATACCATGGGTTGTTCACCGATTCAGTACTCTGAATGTAAAACAGTTCTATACCTTAAGGGAAAAATGAAATCAAATCTGAAATAAGAATGCAATCCTTGGCCAAGCATGTGAGGCTTACCAACTCTTCTTCCACTTTGGGTTTTTATCATGGGTCACACTACAGGAAAATAGTGGACAATTATTTTACAGATGGTAGCAACCAATTGTGAGATGTGGTCACCGAAAGCTCCAAGTAGGCAGTCTTGGACATAATTTTGGACATAATTTTTTTGCTGAGAAATTCTCCTGTTCATTGTTACTATTATGAAAGGTAATAACCTGGAAGGCAACTGTTGAATTAGGACCAACCATCAAGTATATGTGTACATATTTAAGCAAAAAAAAGCAGCTGCTTTTAATACTATCAAATTTACATATGGCGTTAAAAGTCATACATATTACAAAGGTATGTGGGTTTCTTGTGATGCAAGCTGAACCTGTTCTCTTTGTTTCAATTGGTGTACACCGGGAACAAATAAACCTTTTGTATAACAGTATTTCACATTATTGGAGAACTGGAGAGAGTTTCTCCTGTGAGAAAGAAGGATACATGATTTTTCAAAAAAATCACAACTTTGGAGCAGGACTCAGTTGCCAACTTCAATTATACCCTGGGATGGGCAATTTGTGTCCTTCTTTTGCTTCAAAAAAAGTATAGGAAAGAGTGATAAGATCAACATTCACCATTCTTGGATCTTCAGCAAATTCAGGATCAATGTAGAAAAACACTGGCATATCCACTTCCTCTTGGGGATTAAGCCTTTGTTCTTCAAAACAGAAACACTAGAAGTTATAAAAAGGTATATGTTTAATAATATTTTCATTCTACCACTTATAAATCAATACTTCATTTCATGACTTTCATAAGCATACTGCTAAGTATTCTTAAGTTATATGACAGAGGGCCCGGCGCGGTGGCGCAAGTGGTTAAAGTTATATGACAGAGTAACTGTCTTCATCTCAGACTGTTTTGCTTTAAGGACTGAGACAGCAAAGTAATTCTAATGTTGAAAACAAACTCATTTGGTTTGGCTTGCAGTCTAAGCATAGCAGGTGTAAGTAATAACGAAAACTGCTTGAAATTCAGGAGAAAATAAAAATCAGAAAGTTTAAGTTTCTAATAAAATACCATAAAAAGTTTCATGCAAAACAGTTTCATATATATTCTATCATTTTAGAATTTTTGTATTTAGTTGTACCTGTATTTTATTGAAATATTGCCCAGCTTCAAATGGTACAACATTGTATGTAGAAATTCCAATCACTGGTTTGTCAGTAGGATTCTTTGCTTTATAAAACGCTAATGCAGTCTCTCCTGGCACCACCTGTTTTCAAGAATAAATATGATCAATATTTTCAGATTGGCATAGCTCCTTCCCCCCCACCCCCGAATTACAGCCCAAATATTTTTCCTATAAAAGAGACATAACGCCTAATCTAAAGTAACATAAGGCTCAACAAAACAGTGAATATTACATGTAAACATCTGAATTTCAAATTGAGTTTGCATAAGAACATGAGGAATAGTGCATTACTATGCATAAGAATGGAATCCTTTTGTATATTTTAGACCTTAAACCATAATTTGGTAATTAAGCTATTAAAACTGTCCAGGGCTAGCATCGTGGCATAGTGTGTAAAGGTGCTGCCTGCAAAACTGGCATCCCAAACAGGCAAGCAGGTGCCGACTGTGTCCTGGCTGCTCTGCCTCTGAGCCAGCTGTCTTCTAATGGCCTGGGCCCATAAGCAGGGAGCTGCATTTAGAAGTGGAGCAACCAGGTCTTGAAATGATGCTATGTGGGATGTGGGTATTGCACAAAGCACCCAACCTGGGGTGCCACAACACCAGCCCCCCTTGGTGAAATAAGCCATATAGTTCATTTCCAAGACTTACGACCAGCAGGCAACTTAGTTAACTCTAACACTATGACTTTAACAAAAATAGCTGATATTTTCCTCTTGGTATTTTAGAAAGTACAGGTGTGTGAATCTGTGATGAAGGAAATTCTTATAGTAAGAAAAGTAATCTCATTTGTGTTTAGTTACTTACATATATTTCCGTCTGCTGAGGTCTGAAGTTCCACTGCAGACTGGCGTGCACATCTGCATTAAAGGTAACTTTGATGATCCGATCCTTAACGGGTACCATGTTTTCAATTTGGTCTGATCCATGACCTGCTACTGCTGATCCTCCAAGCCCAGTAGTCTAGGAAAAGATACCAAATACTTAACGGAGTACTCATGGATGTTGGCCTATTATAAAAATAATTAAAAATTTTAAAATCCAGTTGGAGCTAACTTTACATACTACCACTGGCTACGTCCTATAGCTGTATCAACAGCTTTGAGCACTTTGGAATACCAACTGTCTATTTTGCTAAGGAATCTCTGGTATGGTCCAAAAACAAGTCATTGGAAAAAAGCACTTTAAACAGTGGCGCTTCATTGCTAGGATTTTTTGATAACTAGTATTAATGAAAAAAATCAGATTAATCCATGAGCTGGAATCAATGAAAATACTTAAATTCTATTTTCCCACATCTACCCACTGGTTCACTCCCAAATGGCTCCAATGGCCCAAACTAGGCCAATCCAAAGCCAGTAGTTTCTTCTGGGCCTCCCACATGGGTGCTGGGGCCCAGGGACTTGAACCATCCTCTACTGCTTTCCCAAGCCATCAGCAGGGAGCTGTTTCTGAAGAGTAGCAGCCCGGACAGGAATCAGTACCCATATAGGACACTGGTGCTGCAGGTGGAGACTCAGCCTACTATGTCTCATGCCGGTCACTAAAGAATCACTTTTATATTCCTGCTATTATAGGCATCATCAGTATTCTTCCATGACAATATTTTTGTATTCTTTTCCATACATCTCTTCATAGTTTTTATAGTTATTGCTAATTAGAGCACCTAATCGCTACTGGATCAGCTAATGGCAGAGCATCAGAATAATCTGTGTGATACTTCTGTTACTCATTACCACTGATTACTCTGTATCATCAGATGCTTAAAGAAAAACCAAAATAAATGACCACTCCTTATTTCCAAGGTCACCATGCTTCTGATGACTTGTGGTTGCTAGAATTCTGGTTTCTGGATAATCTACCTATTGTTATTCTAGAAAAACAAACAAATGCCAAACTGGAGGCAGGGGAAGACTCTCATCAAGATATATGGTAATCTCCTGCTTATTATGTAAGTCAGCGCTCTTTAGTTAACTACCATGCAACATTACCCTACAATTTCATGTGAACACAGACACACAACATTAGTCACTCCAATTTGGGACAGTTTCCACCTGACCATTGCTGATAACTGGGGCCAAATCATTCTTTACCGAGCAGGAGAGAATCTTCTGCTGTTTATTTAACAGCATCTCTAGCTCTGCTCATCAGATGTAACATCATTTTCCTCCCTAACACCCCACTCCTACACACGCAGGTTTTAGCAGCCAAAAATGTCTTCAGACATTGCTAAACTTTCCGTAGAAAACAAAAATCACCTCTATAAGCCTTGGTGGCCTAAGGAAGTTCTTGATTTAAATTCAGCTCACCTTATCATCTAATGTTAGTTTGGGGGTTGATGCTTAGCTCACAGGGGGAAGACAGGCTCTGATAAAAACCAGTTCACTTTCTCCACTCACCGTCCAGCAATCAAGCTGCCCGTAATTCCCACATAAATGCTGACCTTGGGAGACTAAAAAGAAAAGCTTTTAGGGCTTGTGTCTCTTCACCACCTCAAAGGCGGCTGATCTCCATAAAGACAGGAGAAGCCAGTGGCAGGACGGAACAGTCCCAGCTATGTATTCAAGTCAGGATGTGAAACGCAAATTCTCTATTTTTCTGCACATCTGGAATCTCTGACAGTGACAGGCCTGGCTCCTTCCCACCCTCTGACACCATGACTTAATTGGTCAGATGTGTGACCTCTCCCTGTGATGCCCGCCTAAGGCCAGTTCCAGGAACCACTCTCTGAATGGACACACGTGCAGCTCTCCCTTGTGGCTGGGATCATCACACATGGAATCCCTCGTGATTGTACTCTAGACCTCATCAGAACCTGGGCGGGCATGAGAACCCTGGTACGTGTAATTAGTTCCACAGGTGATCCTGTCCCCCCAGCCCACGCTGAGAAAAGAAGAAGAGCTGAGAAAAACGGGTGAAGCTGGACTCAAACACCAATAAACCTACAGATCAGCTCTGACGGGTCCACAGGTCCTGACCCCTAGGGGTTTCTGATTCCGCAGCTGGGCCCAGGAATAGGAACTGCACACAGGTTCCCCAGGGGCGCTGGAGCTGATGCTCTGGGAACCACAGTTAACTGTACACCTGTCACAAGGGGAGCACGCACTCCAAGTCCTAACTGCCTCTTCGCATGAATGAACAGCTCCATCGAGTGTGGGAGCAAACAGCAGCACTCGAAGGTTTCTAGAACACGACGCTGGGGCGCAGGCCAGTGAGATTCACCGAGGGGCGCCGGGTCAGGGAAAACACCCATCACAGCACCTGCTCATGTGGGATCCCTGCGGGAATCGGTGTCGGCTCTGTACTGGTGCCCACTCACTTCCTGGGAGAGCCATTCTTTGGAGGCTGTTTTCTCGCCGGTAGCTCCGCCGGAGCATCCCTCCTTCCCTCCAGAACACGGTGAAGCGAGCGGCGTGGAGGGATCACCCCTCACACCATACCTGGCAATAGAG